CTTTGTTATGCCAATTGACCTAGATGTTCCCTGAAACCATGGTCCCCAGATCCTAACCCTGCTGCTCTGTCCCTCAAAGTGTTTGGTTGTGTTCAGGAAACTTCTTAGTTTTTGTTTAGTCCAGTCATGCTGACTTCCCCTATAGCGTGTGCTGTCCTTCCCTTCACCTAAGATAATTCTTGTCTACTGTCTAGCTAGTGAATACTCCTCTCCCTCCCTCCCTACCCTCGTAACCATCAAGGAATGTTTTCTTCTGTGTTTAAACCTTTTCTTGAGTTCTTATAATAGTGGTGTTATACAATATTTGTCCTTCTGTGACTGACCAAATTCGCTCAGCATAGTGACTGACCAAATTCACTCAGCATAATGCCTTCCAGATTCCTCCATGTTATGAGATGTTTCACTGATTCATCATTGTTCTTTATCACTGTGTAGTATTCCATTGTGTGAATATACCACAATTTGCGTATCCATTCGTCCACTGATGGGAACCTAGGTTGTTTCCATCTTTTTGCTATGGTGAACAGTGCTGCAGTGAACATGGGTATGTATATATCTATTCGTGTGATGGCTCTTATTTCTCTAGGATATAGTCCAAGGAGTGGGACTTCTGGATCGTATGGTACTTCTACTTCTAGCTTTTTAAGAAAGTGCCAGATCAGTTTAAGTCATTTCATTTTCACAAGAACTCTGTGAGATAGAAGTTGTTATTGTTAGGTGCCCTCGAGCTGATTTCGACTCATAGCAGCTCCGTGTGACAGAGTAGAACTACTCCATAGGGTTTTCTAGGCTGTAATCTTTATAGGAGCAGATCTCCAGGTCTTTCTCCCAAGAAGTCCCTGGGCGGGTTCAAACCATCAACCTTTATGGTTTAGCAGCTGAGTACTTAACCATCGCACCACCGGGGCTCCTTAATGTTGCCTCGTGCTCCCGTGGAATTCATACGTAAGAGCATGAACTCATAGGGCTAGCAGAGTCATCAAGAAATGCAGTGTTTTCTGCAGGTAGAAGAACCACACAACCATCTCAGGTAGTAGAAAATTTGCCAGAGTCTCATTTAACAGCAAGGAACTAGTTAGTGCAATTGGCAAAGTCTTAAAATTGGGGGCCAGTCACTTGCATTATATTCATTGCTTCTTTGGCCATGATTCTTCCTGTTTTCTAAAGGCTGACACCAACTGTGCCAATTTTAAACCTAACTTATACTTCATAGAACTGCAGGTATTACAGATACACGGAAGGGAGCTGGGATGTCCCGGCTGTCTGCCAAACTTAGGTTTTTGGTGATTTACCTTATCTGCTCATTTTCTAAGGGACCTTGTTGTTGTTGGGTGCCGTGGAGTTGATTCCGACTCATAGCGACCCCATGTGACAGAGTATAACTTCCCCATAGGGTTTTCTAGGCTGTAATCTTTATGGGAGCAGATCACCAGGTCTTTCTCCCGCAGAGCCACTGGTAGGTTTGAACTGCCAACCTTTATTTAGGTTAGAAGCTGAGCGCTTAACCGTTGCACTACCAGGGCTCCTTTATGAGATAGATACTATTTCATATTCACAAGTTGAAGAAGAGGAAACAGGCTCGTGGGAATAAGTTTCTTTGACAGAGTCACAAAACCCCTAATTCTGAACCAGAACCGTCTTACTCCAAAGCTAATGTTCTTTCTCCTACACTATACCTCCTTAGAAGAATCCCTGGTGGCACAGTGGTTAAGCACTTGGCTGCTGACTGAAAGGTCGGTTTGAATCCACCAGCCATTCCAAGGGAGAAAACTGTGGCAGTCTGCTTCCGTAAAGATTTACAGCCTTGGAAACCACACAGGGCAGTTCTACTGTGTCCTGTAGGGTCGCTATGAGTCTGAATCAACTGAGTGGCAGTGGGTTTAGTTTGGTGTTTTATGCCTTCTTAAAATACATTGAAAATTTGTTTATTTTAAAATGATGAACGTTTAGGTGAGTACCTCCAGCACGTAGCCCTGTCCACATAACCTGTTTTAAACTTACAGGTATCTTGGATGCCCCAGAGTTTGCAGTTGGGGGATTGACCTGTTGTCTGTGGGCTCCTCTTGACCTAGGTTTCCATCTGGAGCAGCACCTGAGTGAAGTTGCATTACAGACGGCCCTTGCCAGCTCTTCCAGGCACTATGCCGGGCGGGCCTTCCAGATCTTCAGGGCTCTCAAACAGCCTCTGTCAGCCCACGCCTTGTCCGACCTTCTCTCAAGGTTGGTGGAGGTGATTGGAGAACATGGAGACGAGATCCAGGTATGTAAGGCAAGACCCCTGAGCTCACCCTTCTTCTCTCCATTTCAAAGAGGAGGAGTTAACGGCTTCCTTTAAGCCTTCTTTCTCTCGTCAGTTACTCCAGCCATTTGGGCATGCACAATTTATCTTCTTTTTTTTTTCTTAGAGGTTGACTTTTTTTTAAATAATATTTTGTTGTGTTTTCAGTGAAGATTTACACAGCAGTTTGGGTTCCTGTCCAACAATTTCTGCACCAGTTGTTCAGTGACATTGGTTACATTCTTCACAATGTGTGAACATGGTCATTACTTCCGTTCTGGTGGTTCCTTTCCGTTCATCTCGTTTCCCTGCCCCGTTACATTCTCACCTTTGTTTTAAAGTCATCGTTGACCGTTTGGTCTCATATAGATGATTTTTTAGAGGTTGACTTTTATATTTTCAAAAGTCACTCCAAGGGGAGTTGTTCTAGAAATTCAACAGATGCTGTCTGTTTTACTCCAGCTAACAATGGAAAAGCCTCTCGTGGCTCCTTTGTTGTTGGGTTGTTTTTGTTTTTGTTTTGTTTTTGAGGGGCTGGGAGAGGAAGGAGCTTGCTCTGCACTGTTTTGGCTTTTGGCCACCATCCTAGACTGCTGCTATATGCTCTCCCTGCCCAGAACAGGAGTCTCCATCGTATCCATGCAAAACACCACCACTGCCTGTATGGCTAGCCTTCAGGAGACCAGGAAGAGCTGAAGAAGTAACGAAGATGTAGCTGCCACAAGAATGACCCTATGGATAGAGCCCAGAGATTGGGGAGCTGGGCTGGTTGAAAGCCAAGGGCATTACAAGCTCTGGGAGTCAGACCAAGCCCTTCTTTGCTATCAGAAATGTTCCTGCATTGACTGAGTTCATCACAACTAGATGGTGCCCAGGTACCACCACTGGCTGCTCTGACAGGGAAGAAAATAGAGGGTCCCGGACAGAGCTGGAGAAAAATACAGAACAAAATTCAAATTCACAAAAAAAACTCCAGACTTACTGGCCTGACAGAGACTGAGAAACCCTGAGAGTATGGCCCCCAGGCACCCTTTTAGCTCAGTAGTGAAGTCACTCTTGAGGTTCACTCTTCAGCCAAAGATTAGACAGGCCCATAAAACAAAACGAGACTAAATGGACATACCAGCCCAGGGCAAGGACTAGAAGACAGGAGAGAACAGGAAAACCGGTAATGGGAAACCCAAGGTCAACAAGGGGAGAGTGTTGACATGTTGTGGGGTTGGCAACCAATGTCACAAAATAATGCGTGTGTTAATTATTTAATAAGAAACTAGTTTGCTCTGTAAACCTTCATCTAAAGCACAATTTAAAAAAAAGAAATTCTAGAGAACTAAAAAAAAGTGCTGTTTCTGCACCTCAGGAAGCCTACACACCTGTAGCCCCTAGCTTCTTGTCCTCCTTCGGGCCATGAGCCTGCTGCTGTAAATGCCTTTCCCATTCTCCATCTCTTCATCTCTGCTTTTCAGACGTTCAGCGCCATATTTCAAATGCCCACCATTCCCCTCAGCCAGGGGCCATGCTGGCCACCTTCAACCTCGTCCCCTCCCTGTTGAAGATGATCTGTTAAGGACTTCAGACTTAGGGAAATAAATCTTCTGTGTTTTTCTGCCAGCTCCTAAGCCGTCTGAATTTCCTAAGTGTGGAACCCTTACGGATTTCTTTCGGACTTAGTCAATTAAAGCAGCAGTGGATGCCTAGCTTTCCAACACGTTAACATTATCTGAGTAAATTTTGCATTTATTAACTTGATCTTCAGGAAGCTCACAATCAGCAGGCATACGCACTAAAACATGTTGGCTTTGTGTGTTTGGCAGGGTTATGTCATGGAAGCACTCCTGACCTTGGAATCGGCTGTGGATAACTTGTCTGATTGCTTGAAGAACAGTGATCTCTTGGCTGTATTGTCTCGGTGAGAATCCACCTAATGGCATTTTGAAATCAAGTATACTGTACTTAATATTTGGGAGAAGCTGGGACTTTGGGCAAAATCCAAAGAACAAATCTAGATTTGAAGGCTGTTCATGACATGAAAAATATTTATGATATTTTCTTAAGTTAAAACAAAAGCTACAGCTCATACACACACACAATATATATATATTTATACATATACCCACTCTTCACTTATCAACATGCTTAGGTTCTAAAGACCAGGTCGTTATGTGAAAATTGGTGATATGCGAAAATGGAGGATCGCCACATCAGATCACAAAATGGAGGATGACTATGTCATTACATAACTGCCAAACCACTGAGAATCATGGCCCAGCCAAGTTTACACAGAACCTTAATCATCTCAGCCAGCATTACTCTTGCCTCACACTTTGGCATTCGTTCCTGCCAGACATACGTCGTTAGTGGGCGAAATAGTAAGATAGTAGATTTTTCACTATTGTTGTAAAAGTGAAATGTCAGACAAAGAGATCGTCAATAAGTGAGGAGTAGGCGTATATATATATTTTTTAAACACCAGATGGATAGCAAAATGTTATCCCTAAATAATATGAGTATTAGTAATTTTTAATTTCCTTCTTTGTGTCTTTGAACATTTTTTTCAGATATTATGTAATCGTTATCCAGTTTATCATATTGGTAAACACAAACTAAAACTAAATCTTCATTTTAAATGAGTATGTACAAAACTCATCTGAACCATCACCATCAAAACAGTTGAAATAAATGTTGACTTTGAAGAACTTCTTACCTTAAGATCTTTTTGTTTTGTTTTGTTTTGTTTTTGCTCCTGCCAATGTTTAATAACCCATTTCAGGTCATTCACAATCCTGTATTTCATTTGTGTAATTCAGTCCATCATGCTCGAAATTGAGTCATTTTCTTATATTTCACTGGATCTGGTTCCATTTTTAAGTTGAACATTTTTTTTTATGGGTGGATAATTTTGGCATGATTGCTAACATCATACATATTTACCTACATAAATCTACAGTTTTATCTAAACAGTAAGCATTTAGCAAGAATGTTGATAAACAGCTTTATCTTTTCTGCATGAAACAAGCTTAGAAATCGTTTTCATAAACTTTTATAGATTCAAAAATTTTTTTTCTTTGACACAAACATTTACCTTCTTCTTCCTAGATAACATCATTTCAATATCTGTTCTCTATATCAGTCAATTAATAGAATATAAGTTTGTACGTATTCTATCAAGGACGAATGCATTTTATACTTACCCCTACCCAAATTCAAACAAAAGGTAAATGAAAGATCAGTCAACATTAAGGCCAACTGATGATTTCTATAGACTTTAAATAAGGTCAAGTCAGTGTTACGTTTTGTTTTGTTTAGTTTGTGAGAGTTGTTCTTGTTAAGTTTTGTTTTCCATAGCTTTCAGTTTAAGAATAAAGAGAAAGAAATTAACTTAAAAGTAGCATTTCCAAGGAATGGTGTCCTGCCCTTGTTGTTCCTCAGCTCACTGGAAAAGGTTCACTTTTCACTGATGCATGTTGACAGTCTAATGAATGTATTTATTTTTATACCCAGCTCATCATCACCGGATTTAAGCTCTAGCACAAAACTAACAGCAAGCAGAAAGAGCACAGGACAACTCAATGTGAACCCAGGAACTGCTGGTGGCAGCACAGCTACTGCAGAACGCAGCCGGCATCAGAGAAGCTTCTCTGTCCCCAAGAAGTTTGGTGTCATAGACCGATCTTCAGACCCACCTCGAAGTGCTACACTGGACAGAATCCAGGCTTGTACCCAGCAAGGCCTCTCCTCAAAAACCAGGAGCTCATCCTCTTTGAAAGACAGCCTGACTGACCCATCCCACATCAACCATCCAACCAACCTGTTGGCCACCATCTTCTGGGTCACGGTGGCCTTGATGGAGTCTGACTTTGAGTTTGAATACGTAATGGCCTTAAGGCTCCTGAGTAGACTCCTGGCTCATATGCCGCTGGATAAAGCTGAGACCCGAGAAAAACTTGAGAAACTCCAGGCGCAGCTCAAGTGGGCTGACTTCTCGGGATTGCAGCAGCTACTGCTGAAAGGATTCACGTCCCTCACCACCACAGACCTGACCCTGCAACTCTTCAGTTTGCTGACACCAGTGTCCAGAGTACCCATGGTAGACTCATCCCAGGCTATTGGTAAAGCCAACAGCACTTGCTCTCTTACACGTTCTGGTAGTGGTTGTGTTGATGTTTACTGTAACGAGATAATGTGGACTTGCCGCTTTTAACGAGGAGCCCTGGTGACACAGTGGTTAAGTGCTCAGCTGCTAACTAAACGGTTGGTGGTTCGAACTCACCCTGCGGCTCTGCAGGAGAAAGACCTGGCCATCTGCTTCCATTAAGATTACAGCCTGGGAAAGCCTATGGGGCAGTTTTACTCTGTCGTATAAGGTCGCTATGAGTCAAAACCAGCTCGACGGCACCCAACAATGACACTGCTTTTAATAATTCTGCTTAGACGGTCTTCCTCGGGAGAAGTTTTTGTTTGTTTGTTTGTTTTTTTAAATTCTATATAATGTAAATCCTAAGTATTTAGATCATAGGAGATATTTTTAAGGCAATAGCATAAAGGGAACAGAAGTAATATATATTAGTTATTTCTTTTTGCTTTCCAGACCAAAATGCAGATAATGATATTTCATTCTGTTGATCTTGTATAGACATTTTTTCTCTTACTTCTTAACTCCCAAATCTTTTTCTTTGACTGTCTTTTCCTCTTGAAAGTTCTGTTTGTTCCCTATTGTTTTAAATTAAGCCAAATCAACAAACCAGGTTTTCAATACTAGGGCATGTGGCCCAGAATTCTTTTCATGAAGCTAGAGCTTAACACAGTGTTGCTAAACCATCAGTTGTCATTGAAAGAGTCTTTCCCATTACATGTGTGAGACCTAAAATGGGTGAGTCGATGTCTTCTTAGTAGCTTTTCTTAAAATATGTTTTTGATAAAAATTTCCAGCTATTGCTTCAGTTCATTCAATCTGAGTTTTAACATCTGGACAAGTTATCCTTAAACACAAACAACTCTTAACAAGAGGGCTGTTGTCGTTGTTGTTGGGTCTATTTTCAACTCAGAGCGAACTCGTGTGACAGAATAGGATTGCCCCGTAGGGTGTTCTAGGCTGTAGCCTTTATGAACAGGAGCCCTGGTGGCCCAGGGGTTAAGCTCTCGGCTGGTAACCAAAAAGTCAGGGGTTCAAACCTACCAGCCCGTCCACAGGAGAAAGATGTGGTGGTCTGCTTCTGTAGATTACAACCTTGGAAACCCTACGGGGCAGTTCTGCTCTGCCCTGTGGTGTTGCCGTGAGTCAGAATTGATTCAACGCCAACGGTTTTAATATTTATGGAAGCAGATCACCAGATCTTTCTCCTGAGGAGCCACTGGGTGGGTTCCCACCACTAACCTTTCAGCCAGCAGCCAAGTGCCTAACCGTTGCACTCCCAGGGCTCCTTGGAAAGAGGACTCCTGTAGCGTAAAATGACAGCAGTTCAGTGCCTCCTTTGTAACTGTGCCATTATCATTGCGAATTTTTCCTGGATTTTGTGTTGGACCATATTAAACTGCTTCTACAAGTCTGTTCCGCGTAACCTCAGAATAAAATCTGTTCTCTACCTTCCCACTGTCAACAGTTAAAATGTGCTTATCTCCAGCTGTCTCTGTTCTCTCTTCTCTAATCCAGGGTTTCCACTGAATGTCTTGTGTCTCCTGCCCCAGCTGATCCAGCATTTTGAAAACCCCAATCAGTTCTGTAAGGATGTGGCCGAAAGGATTGCCCAGGTGTGTTACAGTTCTGCACTCAGGCAGAAGGATACTGGCCTTCAGGAAGGCCCAGTGTCAGGCAGAAATTACCAGGCCCAGACAGGGCAGCGATTTCCACAAAACCTGAAAATAATAACTGATATCAGCAGTGGCTCCATGATGAAACACTCAGCTACCAACCTGAAAGGTCAGCGGTTGGAACCCACTAGCCGCTCCAAGAGAAAATGACGGGCGGTCTGCTTCTGTAAACGCTGTGAGCAGTTCTGCTCTGTCCTGTGGGGTCATTAGGAGTCGGAACTGACTCAGCGCAGTGAGTTTAGGTTCATCAGTACAGTCAAGCATTTCATAATGTCCATTCGGGCAATGTCTGACCACATACACATCCGTGGTCCCATAAGGTTATAATAGAGTTCAGAAATCCCAGTTAAGGAACGGGATGTAGTGGATTTAGGCATGTCGCACTCACAATCTCAACGATCCTCAAAAACAAAGAAAAAATTCTCCAAGCTGTTAAAGGCTCGGCCCCACTGAAAGCTACGAAAATGCCTTGTATTTGGAGATACAAGATATAGAGAACTTGCTAAGGATGTGGGTTGAGGACCAAAGACAAAAGCAAATCCCTCAGCATGCTGACAGTCACTGCTAAGACATGAAGATACTTAAAGAGAAAGCAGGAGCAGACTGTGATATCAAGTTTAGTGCTAGCTCTGAGTGGTTCGAGTGCTTCAAACAGTGTTTGTTGCTGCATAATGTAAAAGTGAGTGGTGAGTCTGGGAGTGCTGATGCCAAGGCAGCAGAAGAATTTGTTGAAAGCTGAGATAAACTATTTGTAGAGGGAGGTTATTTGCCCCAGCAAATTTTTAGTACAGACGAAACCTCCTTATTCTAGAAGTAAATAACATGGTGTTCCCACAAGGTCCAAATCACGTCGTCCTATCTCACGGAACGTATCGTGGATGTTAAGCGAGGCATGACTGTAGTAACGCACATCTCTGGGTGGCCGATGCAAAGGGTCTTTTTCATTCCACTAATGAGAAAGCAGGTGGAAGTAATTGGTGAAAGTTATATGAGCTCATTAGGCAGCTTTTCCAAAAAATGGATAAATCAACTTTCCAGACCGCCAAGACTTATGTCTTCCTATTCATCAGGCTGTTTCATCCCTAATTGATTTTCTTATCTTACAAGGTTTGTTTGGAAGAGAAGAACCCCAAGCTTTCGAATCTTGCACACGTTATGACTCTGTATAAAACGCACAGCTACACGAGGGACTGTGCCACGTGGGTCAATGTGGTCTGTCGCTACCTTCATGAAGCATATGCTGACATTACCTTGAACATGGTGACCTACCTGGCAGAGGTAAGCTTTTAAATGAAGGATAAAATCTATTATAGCTTCCATGGGTAAAATAGTTACGTAGAACTGATAGTAACTCATAAATTTCCATTTACTGAAAGCCTACTATGTATAATGGGAACCCTGCTGGCACAGTGGTTAAGAGCTATAGCTGCTAACCAGAAGGCTGACAGTTCAAATCTACCAGCTGCTCCTTGGAAACCCTACTCTGTCCTGTAGGGTCACTATGAGTTAGAATCGATTTGACAGCAATGGGTTTTTTGGTTGGTATATGCTGTGGGGTCCCTGGATGGTGCAAAAAGGAGCCCTGGTGATGCAGTGGTTAAGCGCTCAGCTGCCAACCAAAAAGTCAGCGGTTCAAACCCACCAGCTGCTCCTCAAGAGAAAGATGTGGTAGTCTGCTTCGGTCATGATTTCAGCCTTGAAAACCCTATGGAGCATTTCTACTCTGTCCTGTAGGGTGGCTCTGAGTCAGAATCGGCTCAGCAGCAATGCGTTTGTGTTTGTTTGCTTGTTTGTTTGTGTGTGTGTGATGCAGATGGTTAGTAGGCTCAGCTGCTAACCAAGAGGCTGGTGGTTTGAATCCACCCAGAGGTGACTCGGAAGAAAGACCTAGTGATCTACTTCCACAAAATCAGCCATTGAAAACCCTGTGGAGCACAGTTCTACTCTGCTGTACATGATTCATCAGAAACCCTGGTGGTGCAGTGGTTAAGAGCTATGGCTGCTAACCAAAAGGTTGGCAGTTCAAATCCACCAGATGCTCCTTGGAAACGTTATGGGGCAGTTCTGCTCTGTCCTATAGGGTCATTATGACTCAATGGCAATGGGTTTGGTTTTTGGGTTTATACATGGTTCACCATGCACTGAAGTCAGCTTGACGGCAACTGGTGGTGGTGGATTATATGTTAGAAGAGATGCTGGGCAGAATCATTTTAAATCCTCACAGCAACCTGGTGATGGAGATACTATTACAATAAAGAGTCTGAGGTTCAGCAAGCTTAAAGAATTTGCCCTAAGTTTAGGAGGCACAGCCAGCTTTTGAAGCTAGGCGCACCTGACTCCAAAGTTGAAACGCCTTTCTGTTTACGGCACTAATGCCCGTCGGCACGTGATAGAGGAAAGAAAATTTTATCCTAACTACTCTAGGTGTTCAAATATTATTTGAGGAGTTACTATGTGGCTTGATATGTTTAATGGTTGTTTGCTCTGAACTAATTAAGAAAGCATACATTTTGAAATCAACTTTTATCTTTGCTTTTTATATTTTTTTTTAAACTGCAGTGGGATTTTACTTGCATACGAATGTGTTTCTAGCACATTTGTTACAGTTAATTGTTTATTTCCTCACGTGCAAACTGCCTGTTTGTTTTCTTAAACCACTTTTGGTGTGGAATTTTGAGCATTTACTGGGATCACTTTATCAATTCTTCGTACTGAACAGTAAACTTTTATCAGTGATGTCTGTCACATATATTTTCTTTTCACATATATATTATTTGCTTTCCTTTTTTAAAATGGAATTAATTTTTTTCTGATTATGAAAGCAGTATTTGTTCGTAACAGAAAATGTGTAAGGTACAGAAAAGTAAAGAAAATCATCCAAAATTATATTATGTAGAAAGAAACACTTAATATTTTGTTGACTTTCTTTTTCAATTTTATTGCTGTATAACACACACGTTCACATCAAGATTGGCATCATCTGTTATAGAGATGGTTGTGTATCCTTCCTCTTTCACCTGATGTTATCTGATATCCTTAACATCTTGTAAAATGTCGTTTCTCTATCAATTGCATATTTCATCATACAATTTACCGTACAATTTTATCATGGATCTGCTTCTCTAGAGTTCAAAATTTGTATTGTTTACAGGACTTTTTGATGTGTGTGTGTGTGTGTGTGTGTGTGTGTGTTTACCATCATAAATGACACCACGGAATATCTCCTACATAAATCTTAATGTTTGTTTCTGGCTTTGGAAAAGTCCCTAAAAAGTATACTTACTGTTTCAAAAGATATGAACTTTTTTAACCTGTTCAGTCTTTGCCAGGTAGATACCTAAAGGACTGTCTTTTGTTTTAATTTGTGTTCTCCTGGTGATTAACGGTGTTTGGTGCTTTCTTTTTCAGCTTATTTTGTTGTATTTCATTGCGTGGATTTTATATTTACACATTCAGCCCTGCCCACACTGCCTCTGACCAGACCTTCATTTCTTCAGTAGTTAGGATTTTATTTCCCCTCCTGATGAAATAAGGAGCCCTGGTGGCGCAGTGGTTAAATGCTCAGCTGCTAACTGAAAGCTTGGCAGTTGGAACCCATCTGCTGCTCCATGGGAGAAAGACCTGGCCATCTCCTCCCATAAAGATGACAGCCTAGAAAACCCTTTGGGGCAGTTCTACCCTGTCCCATGGGGGCCTGTAAGTCGAAAATTGACTCAATGGCACCCAACAACAATCACAGCTTAAGGAAAATTGCACCCATAAAGGCGTTGAAAACCATCGGTCCTTCCGTGTTGGAATCCAGCGTCAAGTGAACTCTCCCTGTGTTCTGCCCTCCCGCCCGTCCCACAGCTGCTGGAGAAGGGCCTCCCTAGTATGCAGCAGTCCCTGCTCCAGGTGATGCACGGTCTGCTCAGCCACATGGACCTTTCTGTCCTTCCTGTAAAGCGGTTTAACGTGGAAGTTCTGAAGACCATTGAAAAGTATGTGCACGTGAGTATTTGAATAGCTTCACTTACAAACCGGGACGTTTCCAGAGAGTCATTCTGGAAAGACCGAATTTTCACACGTAGCTTGTATTGGCTGTGCCTCTGCCAAGCTGCGTGGGCATCAAGGCAAAATCCATAGGGTCAGAGTAGGCTGGCAGGCTGGACGCTCAGTCAGAGTCGATGCTGCAGTCCACAGTCTGTAGGGCAGGCCAGCAGGCTGTGAGCTTGGTGGGATTTTATGCTGTAGACTTGAGGCGGAATTCTCTGGGAGACCTCCGTTTTTGCTAAGGCCTTCACCTGATTGGCTAAGGCCTACCCACATTTTCAAGGGTAATCTCCTTTGCTTACAGTCAACTGCTTGTAGGTGTTAACTGCGTCTGTGAAGGCCCTCCCCAGCAGCACCTAGTCTAGGCTCGATTAAATAACTGGACTCTGCAGCCCAGCCAAGTTGACACGGAAGACGACGCGTTTTTCTCCGCATCTCGTTTGTCCCTTTGTTTCCCCTCGGGCTTGTACTCAGTGAGTTGTAGTGTTCACGGGCAAGCGCTAGGTTTGCTCTGTTTAAACCCGATGACAGGGCCGTACAATGTAGATTTTACACATTTCTTTCCGTCTTCACTTCACCTGTCACGTTCCTTGCAGGAATTACTTAACGCTGAAGTGATTCCGAAGCACTGTTTTGCTCATCTTTCGGGTGGCATTGCGCAAATACTGGTTGTGCTGCAGGGCAGGCATTCCTTGACAGTGCCCCCTGTCACAGCACCCACGGAGACAGGGTCGCTCCACATCGGCCTGCTAACCAGGTGCCCATTTCATCAGCTGACTCGGCTGCCCACTCTGTCTTAGGCCTGTGGGTTTCCAGGGTCTTCTTTTTCACAGTGGCTGATTTCACATTTGAACCATGATTTCCCTCGTACAGAATTTAACAGCAGAGGGAATATGTTTTATGTCATGTGCTTTTACTCCAAAGCCTAGAAAGAAAGAGAGAGAGAGAGAAAGTGAGAGAGAGAGAAAGTGAGAGAGAGAGAGAATGAGTAAAAGAAAAGGAAGAGAGGAAGGAAGAAAGACATAAAGAAAGAAGGAGGGAGAGAGTGGCTGTCATGGTTTGAATCATGTCCCCAGAAAATGTGTGTATCAGTTTGGTTGGGCCATGATTCCTGGTACTGTGTGATTTTCCTGTATGTTGTAAACCTGCCTCTATGATGTTAATGAGGGAGGATAGGTGGCAGTTGTGTTGGTAAGGCAGGACCTGATCTACAGGACTGGATTGTGTCCTGAGGCAATCTCTTGAGATATAAAAGACAGAAGTGAGCAGTGAGACAGGGGGACCTCATACCTTCAAGAAAGCAGTGCTGGGAGCAGACCACGTCGTTTGGACTGGGGTCCCTGCGCGGAGAAGCTTCTAGTCTGGGGGAACACTGATGAGAAGGCCGAGAGAGAGAGAAAGCCTTCCCCTCGAGCTGACACCTTGAATTTGGACTTTCAGTCTACTTTGACTATGAGGAAATAAACTTCTCTTCATTAAAACCATCCGCTTGTGGTGTTTCTGTTATGGCAGTACTAGATGACTAAGACAGGGACGAAGAAAGAGAGAAAAAGGAGGGAGGGAGTGAGGAAGGGAGGAAGGAAGTGAGGGAAAGAGAAAAAAATTATCAAGTTGGTTTATCTATGTTCACTAGTTTTGTGGGAGAAGCACCTGTCTATGCTCTGACCGGGATCACAGCAGAGGGTCCTGGACAGAGCTGGAGAAAAATGTTGAACAAAGTTCTAACTCACAAAAAAAGATCAGACTTACTGGCCTGACAGAGACTGGAGAAACCCCAAGAGTATGGTCCCCAGACACCCATTTAGCTCAGTAATGAAGTCACTCGCGAGGTTCACCATTCAGCCAAAGATTAGACAGGCCCATGAAGCAAAAAGAGACTAATGGGGCACACCAGTCCAGGGACAAGGACTAGAAGGCAGGAGGGGACAGGAAAGCTGGTAATAGGGAACCCAAGGTTGAGAAGGGACAATGTTGACATGTTGTGGGATTGTTAACCATTGTCACAAAACAATATGTGAACTAACTGTTTAATGAGAAACTATTCTGTAAACCTTCATGTAAAGTACAATTAAAAAAAAAAAAATCAAACACACACATACACACAAGAAAAGTACCTATCTTCCTGGGGATTGTCAGGGAGACCAAGATGATAAAACAGAGTGTAAAGAAGAGTGGGATTTTGCCAGGCAGATAAGGAGGGGAAGGGCAGACCAGGGAACAGCATCAGTAAAGCACAGAGGCTAGGAGACCCAGCCTGGTTTGAAGAACTCCAAGTGGTACCCTGGGGGAGATTACCTCTTAGGCCATGCTTAGAGTGTGGGTGCACCCTGTCTACAAGAGGGAGGCCTTGAAGGAGTTTAGCAAGGAAGTGGGATGTTCTAACACATTTTAGGAAGATCAATTCAGCAGGAGTGGATTTGATGGACACAGGTGGAGTCTGGAAGCAGGGCGGCCAGTTAAGAGGCCATGGAAATAGTTCAGGTAGATGGTTCAGCTGAGCCAGAGCCCACAGGAATGGGGAGGAGGAAATGAATTATCAGGGGAGAGGAGCTGAGAATGGCTTCCAGATTCCTGGGTGAGGCAATGAGGAAGGCGTAGACCGAGGAGAGAAATGGGCTGAGTATGAGGAGTCCAGGAAAAAACAGAAGAAAGGGTCAGTGACATAGGAGACAGCAGGGAGGACTGCAAACTGGATGTAGGGAGAGTTTTGAGTAAGAGGAAGTGGTCAGTAAGAAGCCCTGGTGGCACAATGGTTAAGCACTTGGCTACTAACCAAAAAGTCAGCGGTTCAAGCCCACCCATCTACGGGAAAAAAGACCTGGCGATCTGCTCCCATAAAGATTACAGCCTAGGAAACCCTACCGGGCAGTTCTACTCTGTTACATGGGGTTGCTATGAGTCGGAATCGACTTGAGGGCACCCAACAACAAGTGGTCAGTAGCATAAAATGCACTGGGGATTTTTTTTCCAAATTAAGAAAATACGGTGTTGGCAAAAATGGTGCCTCGTTATTTTAAATTTTTATTTATTTGAATGCACAGTTGGTCATTTTTTTTAAATTTGCTTTTTTCTAAATGTAGCGCATCTTATGTATAAATTGTTATTTGCCTTTTATTTATCAGGGAATTTCCTGTGCTGTTTTAAATGAGTGAATTCTGACTGGTCAGAAGTTTCAGCAGATGCTTTAAAAACTAAAGTTATGTTTAACCATGGAATGTTTTATTTCCTTCAGAGCGTTCACTGGAGAGAAGCTTTGAATATCTTGAAGCTGGTCGTTTCTCGATCTGCCAGCCTTGTCCTGCCTTCCTACCAGCACAGCGATCTTTCGAAAATAGAAATCCATCGAGTGTGGACTAGTGCTTCTAAGGAATTACCTGGGAAAACCCTGGATTTTCACTTTGATATTTCAGAGGTACTTAGCTGTGTTTCCTATTCCCAGGAACTTCAGCGTGAATTTGTCCTGACAAAGGTCAAAAGTAGTTGCCTGGGAAAATAGAGACTTACTCCTTTTATATTTCTTTAAAATAAAGACTTCTAAGGCCCAAATTGGAGTCCATGGGTGGTGCAAATGGTTAATGAGCTCAGCGGCTAACCGAAAGTTGGGAGATCCAAGTCCACCTAGTGGCACCTTGGAAAAAAGGCCTGACGATCTACTTCCAAAAAAATCAGCCATTGAAAACTCTATGGAACACAGTTCTACTCTGAAACGTGTGGGGTCACCAGGAGTCGGAATCAGCGGTAACTGGTACTAAAAACCAAAAACCAAACCCATTGCCACTGAGTCGATTCCGGCTCATAGTGACCCTATAGGGCAGAGTAGAGCTGCTCCATGGGGTTTCCAAGGCTGCAGTCTTTATGGACGCAGATGGCCACATCTTTCCCCAGCAGAGCAGCTGGTGTGTTCGAACCGACATTTTGGTTAGCAGCTGAGCACTTAACCACTGTACCACCAGGGCTCCTTACTGGTATTACTGGTGCTTAACTCATGTAGTTGAAGGTATAAAAATTCTTTGTCTTCAAGTCTCTCCTTCCCCATGATCTCTTGAGCCCTTCCAAAGCAGAAGGTGTGATCTATTAGTCTTTGTAACCACAGCACCTGGTCCAGTGACTAACACACAGTAAGCACTTAATAGACGTTTTCTGAAACGCTGCTGAATGAATGAGCTCACGTAAGGAAGAAGCCTGATCTGCTCACAGGGCACGTACTTGCACTGTTAAGTAGATTATATCCATGTTGAGTTTTCTGACGCAATAGAACTCACTGACTTTTTATCCTTTTTGTATTCAGAAAGAGATTATATTTTGCTGCCTTTGTGATACCTGTATCTATATTTAGTACATATATGATACTAAGGCATCTATTCAATCCTTTCCCATTTTTAGCATTTTTTACATTGCTATGGGGAAAAAAACTACTGTTACTCTTCGACATGAGTTTGTTCTGGTCCACTGAGGAGCATAATTTACATAATTTAGATAAACATTTAATAATTGAGGGGGTGTAACAGTTGGTGATGAAAGCTTGGGAAGAGGGGAAAGAGTTTTGTCTCTTCTTGTGACTATAACAAATTCTCTCCAAGCTTAAACATCTGAAAATGGACTCTGTTTGCTTCCCTGAGCATTTTGCTTCAATCCTCATCAGCGGTTTCTAAAGCATGTTTGAGAACAAGCAATTAGATTTGTTTTCAGCTGATAAAGAGGATGGGAAAATGCTGAAGATGCAAACTTACTAAGAATGCATGTTTGAACATCAGGAAAGTGAACCTACTTGTAACACTGAACTTCTCTAATCCGGTGTTTAATCGAAGAAGCAGTTCTTCGTTTTGATCAAAGATTCTGTAAAAGAATCTTGATCAAAAAGTGGGGGGATGCAGAACAGAATTTCTAATTCTCAATGAAATCCAGACTTTCTGGAGCCATTGAGGCTATATGAGCCCCGAAACTATTTCCCTGAGATAATCTTTTAAATTTTAAACCTTAAACCAAAACTATTCCCTGAAGTCGTCATTGACCAAAAAATAGCTAGCCTATCTTAATTAGTAAAAGTACGCCTGCTGTGAGCATTGTGCTCTTTTAAAGAATTATCTGTGTGAGGTCAAATTGACAAGGGCAGCTCAAAAAGTTGGATGGGATGCTTAGGGGGCAGTGAGTTTAAGATGACGGTGGTGGAAGAAAGTGGAAAAGAACAGCGAGAATGGTAGCACCACTTGAAGAAAATAAACAATGTCACTGAATAGTCCATGTAGAAATTGTTGAAATGGTTCATCTTTGGCTGTGTATACTTTCACCAAAATAAAAAAATAAAAGCAGTTGTTGGGTGCCTCTGGATTGAGTGGTCCTGTAGACCGCAGAACTATTAATGAGACAGAAGAACTTGTGCATTTGTTTTCTTTTTCCTCCAGACACCCATCATTGGGCGGCGGTATGACGAACTGCAGAATTCTTCAGGGCGCGATGGGAAGCCCAGGACGATGGCCGTCACCCGGAGCACGTCCTCCACCTCGTCAGGCTCCAACTCCAACGTCCTCGTTCCTGTGAGCTGGAAAAGGCCTCAGTATTCTCAGGTATAAGATCCTAGACTCAAAGGAAACTGTTTGGCAGGGATTCGAGGGTACCCACGAAGCCCAGTGGAGGCAGTGGTGGTCCAGTGGTAGAATCCTCACGTTCCATGCAGGAGATGCGGGTTCGATTCCAACGCACCTCCTGCACAGCCACCACCTGTTGTCGGCAGAGGCTTGCATGTTGCTGTGACGCTCAGCAGGTTTCAGTGGAGCTTCCAGACCAAGATGGACTAGGAAGAAAGGCCTGGTGAGCTACTTCTGAAAGTCATCCAGTGAAAACCCTGTGGATCACCAGGGTCCAATCCACAGTCAATCACGGGGATGACGCAGGACCAGGCAGGGTTTCATTCCATCGTGCATGGGGTCTCAGTGAGTCGGGGACCAACTGGACGGCTGTGAACAACAACAGTAGCGACAACATTGAGCCCAAATGCCCCGTGACCCACCCTTCCACTGCTCGCCGTCCCACGTTGCCATCTAGGCTTTAACACTCCCAGTGGCGGGGACCTCACAGAATTCCAAGAGCCTGTTGATCTTTGAACAGCTCACTACACTGAGTTGAAGGCTGACTCTTTGTTGCTTCCCCCACTAGTCCTAGTTCTCTTCCTTAAGGCGTAGAAGTAAAATCTGATCTCTCTTCCACACGGCAGCCCTTCAGACACTGGAAGAAGTCCTGGCCCTCTGCCACTCATCCAAATGGGTCTTCTTTTCTCCAGACGACACAGCCAGCCATATATGATAGGGCTTCCCACCCAGGTACCACTCTGGCTGCTGTCCTCTGAGCGTGCCCTGAGAGCGTGGTAGCCCTGCTTGGCGTGGACTGCCAGACTCCGCCATGCTTCTCCTGCCTCAGCCCCAGTCTGCATCACAGTGTTGATGCCGCTGGGCTCACTGCCAAGCATTGTATTCAGGGCACTTTGGGTTACAGGGACCCTGGTGGTGCAGTGGTTAAGCACCTGGCTGCTTACTGAAACGTCGGTGGTTCGAACCCGCCGTCTGCTCTGAGGGAGAAAGATGTGGCGTTCTGCTTCTGTAAAGATTACAGCCTTGGAAACCCTATGGGGCAGTTCTGCTCTGTCCTACAGGGTTGCTATGAGTCAGAATGGACTCGACAGCAATGAGTTTGGTTCTTTTGGTTTTCTTTGGGTTACATGTGACAGAAGCCCACTCAGAAATTGCCTCAAGTGGATAAGGAGTTGATTAACTCCTGTATCTGAAGGATCCGGATGAATATTTGACTTCAAGCACAGCTAGTGTCCAAGGTTCAGGAACTGGTTCTTTAGACTCTCCTCTTGTTCTCACTCTCGCCTCTTCCCCTCCCAATGTCTGGGCCCGCTTACCTCTCTGTAGGCCTTACTCTCAGGCAGCATCTTCCCCTGTGAGGCACTAGTGACCTCAGGCGGCTCCACCTTTACCTGGTCTTTGGCTCTGATGATCCTGATGGAGAGAGGTCCTTCTCGCCCCTGATGTCTGGGGCAATCCTAGAGAAAGACTCTTGCAGGGTGTGTGAGGGAGAAGAGCCATTCCCAAGACAGAAAGCGGAACTGTGTTTCCAGAAGGGGGAGTGGATGCTGGGCAAGGAGAAGCAGCTTGATGGCATGGCAGCGAGACTTGCCCTCACTCCTGAAAGTTGTTGTTGTTGGGTGCCATCGAGTCGATTCTGACTCATAGCAACCCTACAGGACAGAGTAGAACTTCCCCATAGGGTTTCCAAGACTGTAATGTTTATGGAAGCAGGTCACCAGGTCTTTTCTCCCATGGAGCTGCTGGTAGGTTCTTGAACCACCACCCTTGCTCAGTTAAAGCAGCCAAATGCTTTAATCATTGCACCACCAGGGCTCCTTCTCTTCCTTGTTGTTAGAAGCCATCATGTTGGTTCCAATTCATAGCGACTCCATGTACAACAGAACAAAATGCTGCCCAGTCCTGCACTATCCTCACAATCGTTGTTATGCTTGAGCCCATTGTTGCAGACACTGTAGTTCAATCTGCCTCATTGAGGGTCTTCCGCTTTTTCGCTGACCCTTTACTTTACCAAGCATGATGTCCTTCTCCAGGGACTGATCCCTCCTAATAACATGTCCAAAGTATGTGAGACGTAGTCTTCCCATCCTCCCTTCTAAGGAGCGTTTTGGCTGTACTTCTGCCAATTCAGATTTGTTCGTTCTTGAAGGTTAGGGGAATAGAAAGCGTGCCTAATGCCTGCTGGTACATGGCGGGTTCTCGGTAAGCACGTTACACTGAGTGGTGCTGACCATACTTTATTATGGATTCGGAAAAAAGAAGAAAAATATACAGCCCGATTCCATACTCCTCTATATTCCTTCTGGAATTGTGAACGGACTACTCGGATTTAGGGGACTAGTTTAACGAATCTTCTTCCATACCCTCAACATCGAGGTCCTCTACACTCTGACCTTGGAAAGATACCATCCTGACTGTCCCTTCTGTAATTTGGAAAGAACATCTTGCACCCAGTTCTACTCAGAAGGAAAACCCATGAGTGGTATTGACCTCCTAGCGGTCTCCAGGTAACAAACTTAAATCAGATTAAAGGAGATGGGGACGTCATTTCTAAGATATTAGGAAGGTAGCTTTAAGAGCAATTCTAAAAATGTTCTACATTCTAGCTTGGTAAGTAGCGTTTGGGGTCTTAAAAGCCTGTGAGCGGCCATCTAAGATACTCCACTGGTCTCACCCCTTTAGGAGCAAGGGAGAGTGAAGAAAACAAGATACAAGGGAAAGATCAGTCCAAAGGACTAATGGACCACAGCTACCAAGGCCTCCACCAGACTGAGTCCAGCACAGCTAGATAGTGCCCGGCTACTACCACTGACTGCTTTGGCACGGATCACAACAGAGGGTCCCAGACAGAGCTGGAGAAAAATGTAGAACAAAATTCTAACTCACAAAAAAAGACCAGACTTTCTGGCCTGACAGAGACTGGAGAAACCCCGAGAGTATGGCCCCCGGACACCCTTTTAGCTCAGTAATGAAGTCACTCCCAAGGTTCACCCTTCAGCCAAAGAGTAAACAGCCCCATAAAACAAAACGAGACTAAAGGGGCACACCAGCCCATGCGCAAGGATGAGAAGGCAGGAGGGGACAGGAAAGCTGGTAATAGGGAACCCACAGTCAAGAAGGGCGAGTGTTGACATGTCATGGGGTTGTTAACCAATGTCATAAAACAATATGTGTACTACATGTTTAATGAGAGACTATTTGTTCTGTAAACCTTCATATAAAGTACAACAACAACAAAAAAAAGCAGTTCTAAAGAACATTAACATGTTGTAGGCCCTGGAACCCTGACAGTTAAGCAATTGGCTACTAATAGAAAGATTGGTGGTTTGAACTCATCCAGCGGCTCCACGGGACAAAGACCTGGTGATCTGATTCCATAAAGATTACGGTCTAGAAAACCCTATGGGGGCAGTTCTACTCTGTCACATGGGGTTGCCGTGAGTCAGAATCAACTTGATGGCACCCAACACCAACAACACTCTTTCTTTTCATTTCAACTCACCAATCCTGAGAACTACTTTATATATGTCATTGAAAAATGTGATGATTTATAGAAGAATCTTCATGCTTAAGGGGCTAGAAAATAAGGTTTGTGAAGAAAACCAAAAGGGATAGAATCTGTTTAAGTTTAGGAAGAATAAATTGAGAAAGGCTTTCAAATAATTGAATTGTTTCATTCTGCGGAAAAATAAAGTTATTCTCCCATTTGTGGAAAACAGACTCGTGCCATAATGTAACACGGCACAAGTATTCCAAAAGCCTTACTAACACTGAAGGTTGTAATATACAGTCAAAGATTCTCAAGAGGAGTAATTAGAATATCCTCTGAAGAACCTAGGAATTGATTTTCACTCCCCCGGGATAACTTAGATCAGCACCATCCAATAGAAATGTAATGTGAGCGTCATTTTAAATATTCTAATAGTCACCGTTAAAAAACATGCACCTTTAAAGATTAATTTAATAACATATCTTATTTAACCCAATATATCCAAACTTTTATCATTTCAACATGCAGTCTATATGAATAATTATTAATGAGATATTTTGCCTTTTTTTTTTTTTAATATCAAGTCGTCAAAATCCAGTGTGTATTTTATACCCCAATCTGCACTGGCCACATTTCAGCGCATCATAGCCACGTACGGGCAGTGGCTACAGTATGAGAGAGAACAGATGTCGATCGTGAGATTCCTTGATTCAAGGGGGCCTGTGTGTTTCTTTTCCAGAAGAGGACAAAAGAGAAGTTGGTGCATGTCCTGTCTCTGTGTGGCCAAGAAGTCGGATTAAGCAAAAACCCGTCGGTAAGTTTCCGCATGCGTCACGCTCATCTGGGCGCCGTGTCTTCCTTGCCTGGGGTTGGTTTTCCGCTTCGGTCATAGTTTCGAGGACCCCACTATGAATTACAAGTGTTGGGGTGACACCCACCATCTAGACCATCTAGTCTCCCCACGCCATGATTTTTAATCTCACCTGGTCCAGAAACAATGAAAGATTTTGTTGGCTATTTGCTCCAGTTTATCTGTGAATAAATACTCAGGGTTTTTTTCCCCCCAATTTATTGTAGTTTTTATAAGTAAGCCCAGACTACCTTAAAATAAATTCATAAGTATCTGCTTCACTGCTATATATAACGAATGTTCCTTTTGGATGTAATTTTGCTCTCTGTACGCACACCTCTTGGAGCCCTGGTGGTGCAGTGGTTAAAGTGCTCAGCTGCTAACCATAAAAATCAGCGGTTCAAACCCACCAGCCACTCCATGGGAGAAAGATGTGGCGGTCTGCTTCCATAAAGATTACAGCCTTGGAAACCCTGTGGGGCAGTTCTACTCTGTCCTACAGGGTCACTATGAGTCGGGATCAACTCAGCGATCATACCAACAACAACACCCACCTCATGCTGTGATGTCACTATTTTACTCACACACAACACAGATGAAAATGATGATATACTATCATATGTATTTTTCTCATATAAACCTCCCCTGATGTTATAGTAAAAAACGAAAACATGCAGTTAAGCAATGAAAGACTGAAGTATTAGAAGTAAGCTTCTAAACCTTTTATAAAATTTAAAAAATTCAAATGTGTGTGTGTTTGAGTATATTGTAGCGAAAACAATAAAAATTTCAAGAGTGGGTTCAGCAGGTATTTTTATTTCATCCATTATGACATCTTTATTATTAACAGCATAAGAAAGTACAAACTAACTGACTTCCCAAATGCAGGAAGAATTGGCAAACAAATGTCTCTGCAGAGCTACTTTGTAAATGCCACTATGTACCCGTTCTTGTAGCTCAGGGTCACATGAAGTAGAGGTCCATGAACTCTTGTTCAAGTGGAAAGTGATCTTTCTTATCATCTGGATAGACACCCCAGCCAGCCTCCGCTAAGCTTTGCCTCCACTTAAGTACCCTTTTTAGTGATTGATTGGTGGGTTTGTTGCTGCACCTACGGTGTTATTTACAAAGCTGAGGGCGCGAGGAGGCAGGGGCAGACAGCTCCTAGCCCACAGAGGAGAGAAACAAGGTCACTTTGCTTCTGCGGTGCAGCTGCGGCCAGTGGGAGCTGTTGCGTATTACCATTACGGTTCCCACTTTCTCCTTCAGACCCATACTGTTCACCTCTGCGTTGAGGCCCTTCCAGCTAAGAGTATGAACCAGGAGTACTTTTGAAACGAGAGAAGCAGTACTAAGTAGGACAGGGTGCCTTAAGCTGAGAAAACTGGAATTCTAGTCTTTCGTCTCTCGATGACTAGTGGACCCTGGGTGTTCTTTAAGGAGGCCTAGTGGCGCAGTGGTTAAGTGCTCGGCTGTGAACCTACAGTTTGGTGGTTCATACCCACCCAGCGGCTCCAGGGGAGAAAGACTTGGCAATCTGCTTCTGTAAAGATTATAGCCAAGAAAACCCTACGGGGCAGTGCTACCCTGTCCTGTAGGGTTGCTGTGAGTTAGAATCGACTTGACGGCAACAGGTGTTTTCAGCGAGTGTGGGTGTTCTTTATCTCGTATACCCATTTGCGATCTGTGTGCAAAACCGTGTGTCATTTACCACTTTACACGACTGTGACACAAGTCGTGTGACTGTCCTGAAACCCCAGAGAAGGAAGCACACTGACACTTTCAGCTTTTCAGAGAGATTTGTTATATTGCAATTCTTATAAATGATTACCTACTTTTGAAGGAAGATGAAGATTTTATAATGCTATATATGTAAAGAGTACTGTCGATTTTATTTAATACCAGTCTACGTTCATTAGAGGCTAGGTAGCAAAACATTTAGGTTCCTTTCCAATTTATCATTTCCACACAGTTCTATCCAAATGCCCCAGTAAAAAGAACACTAAACTTAGAAGTTAATTTTTAAGAATATTAACATACTACAGACTTTAATGTAAAACTGTTTATTGTTGTTGTTTTGGGAGGAGGGTGTTGATTTTGTTTTGTTGTAGTTTAAATCAACAAGAGAGGAACTGAAGTGTAAATTATGGACATGGTCCCTCAGCTAGCCGTCCGTACTTCCGTACTCATCGGCTTCTTTCTCTTATTCTTTACCCAGTTCCCGGTTTACCTCTGAAGGGGTTAAGTCCTTTGCTCTCACATTCTACAAGAACATATCCTGGTATCAGTATCCCTTAAAACATTATTTATATGAATGTGATAGGTATGTGTGTGTGTGAATGTGTATCATTTTTAACCTTGGTCAGTTCAGAGACAATGGAAACTTTTGTTGGCAGTTCCGGTCTGTGTGTGAACATATGCTTAATTGTTTTACACGCACCACCCACAAACACACACACACATTCAGGTAGGCTTCCGTCTGCCTTAAGAGGCAGCAATGTGACTCCTGAACGTTTTCCTGGTGCACGAATGTGTGTCTTTGCAGCAAGTTTAATCTGAAGGCACCTGTCCAACATAAATAATAAAAGAACATTCTAAAAATACCCACTTAAGGAATTAGATGTGTACTGGAAATACAGTGGTATGAAGAGCCAATTACCAAGTTTTATAGCACAAGCAGCTGACGGAAGAAGCATTTCTCAGGAGAGGGCTTTTCTGATCCTAGGTGATTTTTTCGTCATGCGGGGACTCGGACCTGCTGGAGCACCAGACAAGTTTGGTTTCTTCTGAGGACGGCGCCCGAGAGCAGGAGAACATGGATGACACGAACAGTGAGCAGCAGTTCAGAGTCTTCAGAGATTTCGACTTCCTAGATGTGGAGTTGGAAGATGGAGAGGTACAGTGTATTCTCTGTAAACGAATAATCCTGCTTGACCTTTTCTTTGACTTGACAGTCTCTCTTTACCTGCTCAACAATGAATTTTTGTCCTACGGTCTTTAGTTGGAAAGCTGTAAACTTTATTGTGAATCAGCTTACTCAAAGTGCAGCGGTGTAGCTGTGGCAAAAGTGACCACACCCTTCCTGCCTGAGCCCACAGTGAACGCTGCCAAGTTCTTTCTAAGTGGCAAAAGACCTTCATTTTAATGACCACACCAAGCCTTGGTGTGTCTGTGTGTGTCTGTGTGTGTCTGTGTGTCTCTGTGGGTAGCCCAAAGGTGAACTTAAAAAAAAAATCATAAAAACCTTCAAGTTCTGAGTCTGTTTGGTGGTATACCCGAGGAAAATATGCTAAGCATTTAATTATTTTAAACGTGAAATTGCTCTAATTCAGTGGCTTCAAAGCTTGCCTGCTACAACATGAGATCTGGGCCCGAGGGCGCCGGCGTTTTGTGCTGTTTGATGAAGTCATTAGATAAATAATAAATAAAACAGAACGCGCACGAGCCCTTGTGTGCCCTAGGCCAGCAGCTCTAGTTCAGATGCCTGGAGTGTCTGAATTCAAGTCTCAACCAGTAAGTGCAGAGTGTTTATTCTGACTGATGATCACTGTAGTGAGATACTTCCAGTTATGAATCATGGTTTTGAAAACTGGCGTTGGGAGGAGGAGCACCCCCACCCCCATCGCCATCATTTCGAGAGCTTATTATGGGCATGGAGGAGGCCTGGTGGCTCAGTGTTAAGCGTTTGGCTGCTAATCGAAAGGTCAGCAGTTCGAACCCACCGGTCACTCCACGGGAGAAAGACCTGGCGATCTGCTTCCATAAGCATTACAGCCTTGGAAACCCTACAGGGTTCTGCTCTGTCCTGTCGGGTTGCCATGAGTTGGAGTCAGCTCGACGGCAATGGGTTGTTTAAGGGCGTTTTCCAGCTGAGAGAGTCTTCTGCCTCGTGGGATGAAAATGAAATGACTTAAGTGAGATTAAACTAACTATTCAGTTGCCGACGAGTCAAGTTGGACTCATGACGACCCATTTGTGTCAGAGTACAGCTGTGCTCCACAGGGTTATCAGTGGCTGATCTTCTGGAAGTAGATCGCCAGGCCTTTCTTCTGAAGCACTTCTGGGTGGACTCAAACCTCTAACCTTGCAGTTAGCATGAACGTGTTAACCGTCTGCAGTTAGCAAAGGTACAGATGCCTGGTACTGAGCGAGCCTGGCTCGTGGCGTTACTCACCACTTCAGCTCTCGTTGAACTAAGCACACCCTCTTCCTAAGACAAAGGAGCTTTCTGCTAGTCGTACAATGAAAATGGAGGCCCATATTCACAGTTTATTATATCCTGTGGAGGATGTTATCATTGTTAGGTGCTGTCCTGTCTGTTGCAGTTAGCAAAGGTACAGATGCCTGGTACTGAGCGAGCCTGGCTCGTGGCGTTACTCACCACTTCAGCTCTCGTTGAACTAAGCACACCCTCTTCCTAAGACAAAGGAGCTTTCTGCTAGTCGTACAATGAAAATGGAGGCCCATATTCACAGTTTATTATATTCTGTGGAGGATGTTATCATTGTTAGGTGCTGTCCTGTCTGTTCCGACTCATAGCGACCTCATGTGACGGAGTAGAATTGTCCCATATGGTTTGCTTGGCTATAATCTTTATGGGAGCAGATCTCCAGATCTTTCTCCCGTGGAGCCCCTGGTGGGTTTGAACTGCCAACCTTTTGTTTAGCAGCCAAACACTTAACTGTTGCACCACCAGGGCTCCTCAGTGGAGCAAAAGAGGCGTCATTTTCCCTTCTCAGCCAAAGGAAAACGTGTAAAGTGGCACGGCTTGGCAGGAATGGCGTAAAGCAGAGGAACCAGACTAACGAATTTCATCCCCATCCTGATAAAGGAAGAAAAACCTGAGATGCCTGTTACTTGAAAGTAAATAGTTTCCTAGTTTTTTTCAGTGCTAATGAATAATGAATACCACACCTTTCTTCTAGGCTTCTCTCTGTTTCTTAGCGAACACAGAAGTATTTTACAGTGATTATTGTATCTTATATGATTAAGATATCATGAGAAACTCAAGGGGTGAGAGTGTACATTTTGTCCAAATAGAGTAACCCGTTTGAGAATGTCTTGCCACCTCTCCATTAAACTATAGTAAGAGCTCCTGCCGGGCTTACAGAGTGGCAGAGTAAAAAATGGCCTGGGCTTCGGGGTCAAGCAGGTCCAAGTCTGAACTGCAACCATACCACTCACACTTTAAGTGTGAATGCTGTTTCTCCTGGTCTCTGCTTCCTCGTCTATTAAATGGTTATAATAATACCTGCCTGTAGAGTTGATGAAGTCCCTGGGTGGTGCAAATGGTTAACACGCTTGCTACTAACTGAAAGGTTGGAGGTTTGAGTCCACACAGAGGTGCCTCAGAAGAAAGGCCTGGCTATCTACTTCTGAAAAATCAGCCACTGAAAACTCTATGGAGCACAGTTCTACTCTGACACACACACAGTTGCCATGAGTCAGAATTGATTTGACAGCAGCTAGTTTTACAGAGCTGACAGAGGATTGAATAAGATAACATGTGTAAAGCTTCTCGTATATGTCAGGCGCAAACTGGGCATTCTAAGCGTTAGTTCCCTTGTATTCCCATCATTGGTAAGTAAGTTTAATATATCCACGTCTGAGAAAGTTAAGCATATTAGGCTTTGAGGTCAAAACATGGCTGTCAAAAAAGAAAGACAAGTTTTTGTCATGTCTGTGCCTTTTCATAAGGAACCCTGGTGGTACAATGGCTAAGCACTCAGCTACTAACCGAAAGGTTGGCAGTTCAAACCCCCCAGCAGCTCTGAGGCAAAAGACCTGGTGAGCTGCTCCCGTAAAGATGACAGCCTAGGAAACCCCACGGGGCGGTTCTGCTCTGTCCCAGAGGGTCGCTATGAGTCAGAATCGACTCAACGGCACCCAACAGCAACAACATGCCTTTTCATTAGTCTCAGAGTTGGTTGACTCATGTCTGTGAGGGTTTGCCCTTGAACTTTTCAGAATCTTTAGAAGGCGCCGTGTCTTGGCTGTTAATTGCACTCAACAGGTCATGACCAGGAGCACTTCTCGCTTTGTGAGCGGTATCAGCGGAGGGCACTTTTTTCCCAGCTGGCGACCCTCTTTTATTTCCTGTGGCAAGTTGTAAAGGTTTTCTTGCAAACAGACATTTGGGCATTCCAAACAACGTGCTCGGGAGACCAGGCTGTCACTGAAGGAGGAGCTATTTCAGAAATGGTGTTTATTAAGTGCTACCCCAGCTACAGCGGGCGCGAAGGGGTTTCGATTTTTCTGATGTTTGATACTGATTGTTTCTCTTTGGGGGTCTGTGTATGTTTACCTTATTTTTAAGGTGCACCTGCTGAAGTATATATTGGTGGGACTTTTTGTTGCTGTCAGGTTAAAACTAAGGCATAGTAAAACTTGAGAATCTTTAATATAACCATTTTAAATAGACCTTTTATTTGTTTTTCTGTCCAATATCTGCTACCCAGGAGCTTCAGGTAAGACGATGCTGTTTTTAATTCAGATACGCTAGTAGATGTTTTGCATCACTGCAGATTCGTAACAATGTAATTGCTTTCCCCCACTCCCTTCTAGCGAATGTACGTATGCCTGTTTGCGTGCATATTTACATCTAGGTGTGTGTGATACAAAAGATACTTTTCTTGGCTGCTCTAGTATGGAGATATTTTCTAAAGTCTAAATACAAGGTTTTTTATAAAAGCCTCTATATGCCTAGTTCTGGAAGTTGCATGATTATATCTCTTGAGGAAAAGTGAGTTTTAAAATCTGATCAGTGGAAAGCGTATAATTTCTCAACAGGCACTTGCACAACTGGATTGTTGTTAAATCCTTTTATTAAAAATACTGCAAACGGCATGTATGGATAGACTGTCCACACTTCCCACTGAATCCTGTTACCATCCAGGGAGTAGGAGTTATCTCTATATGGTGACTGTAGAAATTTTCATCCAAACCAGAGCCCTTTTACAAGTAAAAACGGGTGTTAATAATAATTATGCCCAGCCAGCAGGCATAAAGCGGGATCATTCTGGGAGAAGTGGGACCTCTCATCACCCTATATCTGCGTCATCTCAGACTTAACTCTCTGAAGTCTCATTTGGTAGAACATCTTTGACGCGGTGCACCCAAGTTCCTTCAACAACAATAATACTTGATGGAGTTCAAATATTTATATGTAGATATGAAAAAATTTTTTCAAAGAATATGATTTCCAACATTTCTAGAATGTTCCATCATGAATACTTTGTCATCTCAGTATAGATTCTGAGTTGTCTACTCAGAGTTTGATTGAGGAGCCCTGGTGGTGTGGCAGTTAAGTGCTCAGCTGCTAACTGAATGTTGGCAGTTCAAACCCAGCCAGCAGCTCTGCAGGAGAAAGACCTGGTGATCTGCTCCCATAAAAATTGCAGCCAAGAGAACCCTACGGGGCCATTGTACTCTGTCCTGTGGGGTTGCTCTGAGTTGGAATCGACTCAAGACTCGACAGCACACAACAACGACTGCCATATACAGATTGTCCGCCTGGAATAATTAGCCCTCCTCTAAATTTTCTCACACATAGAGCAATCTGATTTGATTCATAAAACATTGTTTTCAATTTTGACTTTGTGTGTAACGTAAAATGCACAGAGTGCCTTGCAGTCAAAGAATAAATCTGACTTTATTTGGGGAGGAGGGGAGAGAAGGTAGAGGGTAGCCTTCCCAATAGAGACTCCTGTGCCACCTGGAGAAAGCCTCACTGACTTTCTTTTTAAGCTGATGATTCTTGATTTTTTTAATTTTTTTATTGTGGTAAGTATATATACAAGGGTAAGTCAAAAAGTATTGCTATTAGGGCTCCAGTTCACCCACGCACGGGCTTATTCCCAACAAGACGTGTTTAAACATGTCACTGTGATCAGTGGACGGCTGCAGACACGTTCTCTCAGTGATACACTTATCTTCGTCTCGTTAAGGTGCCTTCAAAAAAAAGGATATTTTTTGTGCCATGAAAAAAACGATTTTGAGGTCAGGGCTAATATCAAATTTTTAACAAAACTTAAGTGGACATCTTCCCAAATCACTGAAGCTTTGCATCAAGCTTATGGAAATGCTGCCGCACATAACACATCAGTTTTCAGATGGATCAAGCGTTTTAAGGAAGGTTGGGAAGACCTCAAGATGAGCCAAGAGAGGGAAGACGACTCAAAAGGTTATGGCGACTGTTCTCCGGGATTCCCAAGGGGTGATCTTGAGACATTTTCTCCAAGGACACAAGACGATCACGGGGACTTATTATGAAGAAGTTTTAAGAAAAATTGAGAACTGCGTTGGTGAGAAGAAGTCCAGTAAAGTTGCACCAAGGAATTTTTTTCCATCACGACAATGTACCTGCTCATCCTTTGAGGGTAGCAAGGGCTGTCCTATGAGAATTGCATTGGGAAACCTTACCCCATCCCACCTAGAGCCCTGATCTTGCCCCTCCAGAATTCTTTTTGTTCGCAAAACTCAAAGAACGTTTAAAAGGAATACTATTTGAGTCCCTCAAGGATACCAAAACTGCCCTTTTGACAAGATGTAAATCAAAGAGCGGAGGACTCTTCGGGTAAGGGTTAGAGAGATGGAAACATGACCTTCAGAAGGGTATAGACCTAGATGGAGGATATGTCAAGAAACAACAGCTGCACATTTTGATATTTTTGTTGAATACAGATTTCTATGATTTTGTAGCAATACTTTTTGACATACCCTCGTAATACAAGGAGGCCTAGTGGCGCGACGGTTAAGCTCTTGGCTGTTAACTGGAAGATCAGCTGAGCTGTTCAAACCCACCAGCCACTCCTGAGGAGAAAAAACCTGGCGATCTGCTCCTGTAAAGATTACAGCCTAGAAGACCCTATGGGGCAGTTCAACTCTGTCCTACAAGGTTGCTGTAAGTCGGAGTCGACTCAACGGCATCCAACAACAACATTATATATAACAAAACGTTTGTCATTTGAATGGTTTTCACGTGCAATTCAGTGACATTAACTCCGTCCATCATATTGTGTGACCATCGCCACTATCCATTTCCAAATTTTACCCTGAACGTCTGCATTGCTCAGCTTCAATGTGGGAGACTCTGGTATTGTTGCTGGAGACAGTACATCCATCCCATCCGTTGACTTGGTGCGAGAGGATCAGCTGTGTGAAGTGATGTTTGTATATCTCTCCAGTTATTTGTACATTCTTCTTTCTGTTATCTTTTTCCCTTTCGTTACACGTTGCATTTTCCTTTGACTGCCAGCGCTCTTACCTCTTCCACATTTTTTTTTGGTCTGCAAAACAAAATCAAACCCATTGCCGCCAAGTCAATCCCAAGTCATGGAGACCCTGTAGAACAGAGTAGAATTGCCCCATTGGGTTTCCAAGGCTGTGATCTTTATGGAAGCAGATCACTAAGTCTTTCTCCCATGGAGCCGCTGGCCGGGTTCGAACCGCCAACCTTTCAGTTAGCAGCAGAGCGCTTAACCATTGTGCCACCAGGGCTCCGATTTTTGACTGCAATAGCTATTTTAAAATCCAAGCAGGACAAATTAGCTTTTTCCACCAGAAAAAATAAAATTATTTGGTGGGAATTTGTCATAGCAGCTACGGAGAGAAACTGCAGGTAGTACGGAAAGCGTATCCTGAGTATACTTTCTTTTTATCATCAAACAGGCCTGAGAAGAAGCATAAGTTTCATAAACACAGAGGAATACAAATAACAATTTCCGTCTCCTGTCTAGAGAGTGTTTAGGATTCTTCCCTGTTGCCTTCTCTCATGATTGGCCAAAACAGACTTTGGGAAAGCTGAGTGTCTGTTGTGTGAGAGATCTATGAGGAAAATGGCAAGCTTTGTCTCATCAGGAGCCAGAAGGAACAGACCACTAACCCACAGGAAAGGAGCCCTGGCGGCACAACAGTTAAGCACTTGGCTGCTAACCGAAAGGTTGGCAGTTCAAGCCCACCCAGCGGCTCCTCAAAAGAAAGACCTTGCAATCTGCTTCTGTAAAGATTGTTGTGGTTTTCATGGGCATTCCGACTCATAGCGACCCTATAGGACAGAGTAGAACTGCCCTGTAGGGTTTCCAAGGCTATACTCTTTACAGGGGCAGATTGCCAGGTCTTTCTCCCGAGAAGCCGCTTTTGGCTAGCAGCCGAGTGCTTAAGCACTGTGCCACCAGGGCTCTTTTTACAACCTAGGAAATCCTATGGGACAGTTCTACTCTGTCATGTGGGGTCATGATGAGTCGGAATCAACTTGACAGCACCCAGCAACAAAAAACCAGAGGAAAATTAATAAATGTGGACTCATTAATTTTAACAATTATTTACATCTATCGTGTTATATTATTTTGCTGTTTGCTGAGCTCTCATCAGAAAAACTTATTTTATTTTCTTTCTCTACATAGATGTAGCTGCAGCGTCAGTTAAGCTACATCTACTGAGATCTCTCTCAGCAACCCATCAGATATTTTAGTGGATTTCAAGTAATTTCTTTTTTTTTTTTTTTTTGCTACCAAAAGCCTTGACCATCAAAGTCTTTTTAATTGTGAATCATCAGTGTTTCAAATTACCAACAAGTGAGATTATTTTGTGCTAGATTTTATTCAGATTACCAATTTTTTTAAGTTAAAAATGTGCGTGTCAACAGGCTATAGTATTTCCCTTCCTTTATTCCTATCAGGAGCCCTGGTGGCGCAATGGTTAAGCACTTGGCTGCTACCTGAAGGGTTCGTGGTTCGAACCCACCAGCTGCTCTGTGGGAGAAAGTCTGCTTCTGTAAAGATTACAGCCCTGGAAACCTTGTGGGGCAGTTCTACCCTGTCCCACAGGGTCTCTATGAGTTGGAATCGACTTGATGGCAACGGGTTTGGTTTTGGTTTTTGTTTATTCCTATCTTAACAGAAAGAAAAATAAAACCCAAATTATTTCTTAAAAAAAAAAGTCAAATAATTTTGTTGAATATCTGATGGTTTGTAGAGAAAGTATGAGATACAGCTGAAAACGTTCTTTTAACACATCGCCATTCAGCCCAGTTCTCAGTAAACTAAAAATGTACAAGTCAGCAATGTTTAGTCCTGAGTCAATCACTCCGTTCCCGAGAAAGGAACCATGTTCCACTTGGAGGCAAGTATTTAAAGATGAGCTGAGAGCCCCAGTTCTGCCCCGGCCCTTGCATAGTGCATGATCAGACGCTGTCCAGCTGCTCGGAAAGGCTTTGACTCTGCGTTTGGTCTGTGGAAACCGCTGTGGCAAAAGCAGGCTGGATTGTGTACCTAACGCTCTTCTACTTAATACCCAAAGGGTCTGGAATGTACCACGAGCACAGCACCCCAACTTTGTGCCCTCCTACACACAGTGCTAAGAAGCCGAGGCCATGGAGGGGTGGGGGCTACCACTTTCAACTTGTTTTAACATTAATGGTTTCTTTCTTACAGATTTTTTGGGGGGAAAAGAAAAGATCATTTATAAAGTTTACCAAAATCAACTTTTAAAAGAGGTGATATTACCCACCATGCCAAAGAAACATGTGTGATTCCTTCCACCTTTGATTTCATGTACATTTACATGAAAATAGTATGTTTTCACTGTTTTTATTTCAAGGAACCCTGGTGGCACAATGGGTAAGCACATGGCTGCTAACCTAAAGGTGGGCAGTTCGAACCCCCCAGCCGCTCCTCAGGAGAAAGACCTGGTGACCTCCTCCTGTAAAGATGACAGCCTAGAAAACCCTACAGGGCAGTTCTACTCTGTCCTATAGGGTCTCTGTGAGTCGGAATCGACTCGACGGCACGAGACAACAGCAGCAACATTTTTCACATCATGAAAACACAGTTGTCAGGCCCAAGTCGATGAGGGCTCGAGGCTTCCTAATGAAGATGTGTCTTTGTACACTGTGGCTAGTTCAGCGTGGAAGATGGGCGTGCAGGAAGGCGTGGGCAGAGAGGTCATGGGCCAGTGTGTGTGGTTGCAGGGCGAGAGCATGGACAATTTCAACTGGGGTGTGCGGAGGCGGTCCCTGGACAGCCTGGACAAATGCGACCTGCAGCTGCTGGAGGAGCACCAGCTGTCGGGGCGCACCCCCAGCCTTAGTAAGATGGACCGCGAGGACTCCGATGAGTCGTCAGAGGAGGAGGACCTCACCACCAGCCAGCTGCTGGAGCACTCGGACCTCGTGAGTAGGGACTTCCCCCGGGAGGACTTGGAAGACTTCTTTTTCTAACGAAAGCAGTAGTGTCCTTTCTACTTGCAGCTGAAGAAACTTCCCACAGCTGCTTCCCCTGAATCTGAAGCACCTGGGGGTGTCTCTTAGCATCTGATGGGCCTCTTTTCTGTAGGTTGCAAGTGTAAACAGATGCAGGGAGGTGGGGTATTTGTTATAAACCCTGAAAGCCGTCAAATCTGCTAAGGCCTCGGTTGTCCCAACTAGCTTTTTATTCTCCTGGCATCTTTTTTTTTTTCTTTTTTTTAGTTTTCCAGATATCTAGAGTTTTAGGAAATAGGACAGACACTTTCATGTGGTTATTTGAAAATGCAGGTATCCGTGTATTAGAGAGCTGCACCAGATTAACAGATTGCCAGCTGCTATTTTTAAGGTCCATTAATAGTGAGCGGTTAAGTGCTCGGCTGCTAACCAGAAGGTCAGCAGTTCGAACCCACCCAGTGGCTCTGTGGAAGAAAGACCTGGCGATCTGTTCCTGTAAAGATTTCAGCCTAGAAAACCCTATGGGGCAGTTCTACTCTGTCACGTGGGGTCGCTATGAGTCGGAATCGATTTATGGCACCAGCAACAATGGTGGCATATGTCAGCTGAAAAATTAATATCAATCAACCAACAGCTAGTGGACAATGGTTTATACTCTTATGTAAAGAATCATTAGAGCTTTTAAAGAATAGGAACTGCACGTTATGCTTTATCCTCTTTGCTTTTTCAACAGATCATGACCCTCTCCCCCTCGGAGGAGGCACATCACATGGAGTCGCTCACCATGGCCTGTGACACCATGCCTGCTGACCCCCACGCCTTTACCACAGGGATGGTCGGCTTTGACGCCTCTCTGCCGGATATGAATAACCTGCAAGTTTCTGAGGGTTCTAAGGTGAAGAGATTTTTGGCAATTCTGACTGTGGTTTCCTTAAAAAAAAAAAGTACTCACAATTTTCAGAGCATTCTTAGGGGTAAAGGCAGAGGAACTGTCCTTCCCTCATTCTCTCTGTCTCTTCCCTCCGTTGACGGCTCTTCCCCTGGGCTGGTGGTGTGAAGTGCGTTCACCCTCACCAGCTCGAGCAGGCGTCTTCTTGGCGGAAAGAGACCCGACTAGAGGTCTTCTTGAAGTGAAATATTTCACACTTTCTGTGTAGCAGGAAGTCCTGCCAATTTCATGGCCAGACAAATTGGTGTGTGTTGAGATCGCTCGCTGTGACTGGGAAGCCGCTGTTCTTTGTCATGACCTTTATAAAATAGTGTGCTAAGCGAGATGTGGGAGTGTGCATGTATTTGGGGAAATGTTTTCCTGCGTAGGAACCAATAATACAATTTGTCCATTGATTCGACTCTCGCCTTTTGGCACACGCTATAGGAATCTTCAGTGCCAATCACGGCATTGCGCTGGATTCGCACAAAACTATTCTACTCAGACGTTCTGAGAGGAAAAGTGCCTAATGGATGTAATTTTCTTATTTTAAAAGGTTGGCTTAATAAATGACAGATTGACTCACAGAAAAAATAAAGAATATCACCCATGAGTACTGTGCTCCTTTAAAAACAATCACCTATATGATACTGGCTGTGCACTGGGGCAGGGTCTGAGCTCTGTGCCCAGGCTGGAGTATCAACACATGCCCTGCCCCATCTCTGGGACATCCCTGCCCTGCTTAGTCAGGCTGCCAGGCAACCCCTTACCTGCCATGCTCAGGGCTGACCTCTATGCCTTCGTTCAAGCTTCCCACTGCCTGGTATCCCCTCTTCCAATTCCAACTCATCACTTCTTCAAGACCTGCCTCCAGGTTCACCTACTCTGAGAAGCTTTCCCTCAGTGGCGCCCGCCTCACTCTGCACTGGTTGGCGTTGCGTACATTTATACGCTCTTTCCTCTTTTCCTCTTACCTATGGTCTCTAGACTTTATTTTTTTGAACCATGAGGAAATAAATGTCTGTTCTTTAAAGGCAAAAAAAAAAAAAAAATCATCTATACGAGACCAAAAGGTCAACAATTACTTAGAACAAAGATGAGGAAGTAGAGGGGCAGGGAAACTAGATTAATGGAGACAGAACAACCAGAATGGAAATATTGAGAATGCTCATGCATTGTGAAGAATGTAGCCAATGTCACTGAACAATTTGCACAAAAATTGTTGAATGAGAACCTAAACTGCTGTGTAAACCTTCACGGAAAACACACAAAAATTATATCTCATTTAAATTTATCAAAATTTTTAGGAATTATCCGGCCCGTAAAACTATCTACACACACTCTGTGTCCCATGTCTCTGCCTGTCAGTATAGAATTTATTTTCTTACATTAGAACTACCAAAGCAACCTACTACTGTTAGGATAGGGTAAAGCTTTCTTTATCCTGGGCTTGGTTCTGCTTATGTAAGTTTGAAAGAGAAAATAAAGTAGAAAAAAAAAAAATTATCTAAAAGCATTTTCCTTCTGATACTTATAATGGGAAAAATATGACACTGATTATCTCTACTGTCTTTCAGTGCACTAAAAACAGATCTGAGATCTGGGAAAATCTGTGTAATTGAAAGCAAAGACAGTCGACCAAATTGCAATGATGTCAAAATGTTGAAGCTTAAGTAAAAATTATTTGGAAGACTGCCTATTGCAACAGGACTATGATCAGGATTCTTAGAGTTAGCTGAGTCCTCTTAGCCCCCAAAAAAGGCGGGCAGGGCAGAAAGACAACTTGTCTGTGGTTAAAATACCAGAATCCTAAGATGAAGAAATTAAATTTCATGGAAAGGACATCACAAAATAAACTGAAGTTGTTAGCATTCAGTACTTCTTAGTCCTGGTATAGATGTCTCCATTTTTCTGTTTTGAATGCTGAGCTATGTGACTTTCTTCTAGAAAGCACCACCTAAGACGTAATATTTTTATGGACTCAGACTTAAGTCACCTAATTCTACCAAGGAAAGGTTGTCTCATTTCTGAAACGTTTTCCCTGTTTTCCACATGAGTTGGGTTTCTGCAATGTTTTTAGTATGTCTGTGATGTTAGGAAGATAAGCTAAAAGGCATTTTTATGAGAACTCAGCCTTCCCCTCAGAGAGTACATTTGTGTACGCAAATAGCCTAACCCGGTGACCAGGGGCAGCCCCGCCAGCACCGTGGTCTTAAAAGGCAGCAAGAAGCAGATATGGATAAGCCTCTGAAGGTCAGTGTTTACGGGCAGTTCCTTCAAAGACCTCTGACAAATTCTGTTTCCCTGACATATCTTTAACATTCCGCTCAATTACCCTATTAATCCTAAGTGGGTGGCCAGATGTGAACGCGTGATAAGGCTCTAATTCATATACATTTCTCTTTTGCCCTGGTTTTGTGTTTGTTTTAAGAAAATGACTCACTAAAGCACGTACGTGTGATTTCTACCTCTCCTCCTCTGAGCTGTACTCAGTGCCTTCCTTCCTCCCCCAAGGAACAATCAGTTCTCTAGCTGACTTCCCCTGGCCCCAGTTCAAGCCCAGCCTCTCGCTTCCGTTTGACTCGCTTTGTCTCTCTCCTGCCCCTCACTGACCCCAGAGCTGCCTGCTCCTCGACAGCCTTTTCCTTCTGCTGCTCAACGCACATTATCCAGCAAGGTGAGGGCAGCCACTCATAGCTGCTGTCTTCAAGAGATGTTCCCAACAGTGGAGCGTGTATGTAAATGACCTTAGAGTATTTTCAACATGGCTGGAACCCTGGTGGCAGAGTGGTTAAGTGCTTGGCCGCTAACCAAAAAGTTGGCGGTTTGAACCCATCAACAGCTCCACAGGAGAAGAGACCTGGCAATCTGCTCTCGTAAAGACTAAAATCAGTTCCGACTCATAGCAGCCCAATAAGACAGAGTAGAACCACCCTGTAGGGTTTCCAAGGCTGTAAATCTTTACAGAAGCAGACTGCCACATCTTGCTCCCACAGAGTGGCTGGTGGGTGGGTTTGAACGATGACCTTTCGGTTAGCAGCTGAGCGATTAACCACTGTGTCACCAGGGCTCCTCCGTAAAGATTACAGCCTAGGAAACCCTATGGGGCAGCTCTGTTCTGTCCTCTAGGGTCACTGTGAGTCAGAATCCACTCGACGGCACACAACACCACCATTGTTCCTTTAGTTGAAGAGATGGTCCTGTATCTATTTGGTACGTATCCAGGGGATTATGCTCTCTCTCTGTTCTTCCAGGCGGAAGCTGTGCAGGAGGAGGAAGACACCACAGTGCATGAAGATGACCTTTCTAGCTCCATCAACGAGCTCCCAGCCACCTTCGAATGCAGCGACAGCTTTAGCCTGGGCATGACTGAGGCGGAGGAGAAAGGCGACCGAGCGCTGGATCAGTTTACGCTTGCAAGGTAAGGGTGGGAATGAGTGAAGTCATTACACAGGGCACGTTCTATCGCTTTCACGCCAACTCAGGTTAATGGTCACACCTGCACTGCGGGGCCTGCCTAGTAAAGGGTGACTTAGGGCTGTCAGCTGGGCTGGAGTCATCCAACCCCAGCACGTGGCACTGTGTAGAACCAGGAAAAGATACTCAGATAGGAGCTCAGGAAGCTGTGTTGGTGTTGTGGTGTTGGTGTTGGATTGGCTCCAGCTCATGGTGACCTTTTGTATATAACAGAACAAACGTCACCCAGTCCTGCACCATCTTCGTGATCGTTGGTGCGTTTGAGTCTGTTGTTGTGGCCGCCGTGCCAGTCCATCTCGTGGAAGGTTTCCCTCATTTTCGCTGACCCTCTGCTTTACCAAACATGGTGTCCTTTCCTGGCGATGGGTCTTTTCTGATGACGTGTCCAAAGTAAATGAGCAGAAGTTGAGCCAGAGAGCCCCATAAAAAGCCAGAGGGACCTGGGCACGTGGTCCAGGCCTTGTAAGCTTTGAAGATCAGCAAAACTTGGCAAGCTATGGAAACGTGGAGTCCTTTACATTTTGAGTTAAAAGACCAGAACGAGAGACTCTTTGTAAACCAAATACCACCTGTTTTTTAAGTGGGTGGCTTCCAGCCTGGTGGCTGATATTTCTGAAACTAGTGAGATACAGTTAGAGAATATGAATAGAGAAAATATATAATAATGAATAGACAAAAACACCATAAAAATTCCGTTGCCATCCATGAATAGACATATGCACACCTATGTTCATGGCAGCATTGTTCACAATAGCAAAAAGATGGAAACAACCTAGATGCCCAGCAACAGCTGAATGGATAAACAAACTATGGTACATACACACAGTGGAGTACTGCGCAACAATACAGAACAACGATGAATCTGTGAAGCATCTCATAACATGGGTGAAACTGGAGGACATTATGCTGAGTGAAATAAGTCAATCACAAAAGGACAAATATTGTATGAGACCTCTATTGTAAAAACCCATGAAAAAGTTCACACCCAAAATGTAACAATCTTTGTTGGTTATAAGGGATGGGAGGGGTGGGGGGGAAATACTAAATAGACAATAGATAAGTGGTAACTTTGGTGAAGGGTGAGACAGTACACAATACTGGGGAAGCCAGCACAACTTGTACAAGGCAAGGTCATGGAAGCTCCATAGACACATCCAAACTCCCTGAGGGACCAAATTGCTGGGCTGAGGGCTGTGGGGACCATGGTCTTGGGAACATCTAGCTCAGTTGGCATAATACAGTTTATAAAGAAAATGTTCTACATTCTACCTTGGTGAGTAGCGTCTAGGGTCTTAAAAGCTGTGAGCGGCCATCTAGATACTCCACTGGTCTCACCCCATCAGGAGCAAGGGAGAACGAAGAAAACTAAAGATACAAGGGAAAGATAGTCCAAAGGACTAATGGATCACAACTGCCACAGCCTCCACCAGACGGAGTCCAGTACAACTAGATGTGCCCGGCTACCACCACTGACTTCTCTGACAGGGATCACAACAGAGGGTCCCGGACAGAGCTGGAGAAAAATGCAGAACAAAATTCTAACTCACAAAAAAAGACCAGACTTACTGGCCTGACAGAGGCTGGAGAAACCCTGAGAAAATGCCCCCGGACACCCTTTTAGCTCAGTACTGAAGTCACTCCTGAGGTTTACCCTTCAGCCAAAGATTAGACAGGCCCATAAAACAAAATGAGACTAAAGGGGCACAACAGTCCAGAGGCAAGGACTAGAAGGCAGGAGGGGACAGCAAAGCTGGTAATAGGGAACCCAGGGTTGAGAAGGGAGAGTGTTGACATTTTGTGGGATTGTTAACTAATGTCATAAAACAATATGTGTACTAATGAGAAGCTAGTTTGTTCTATAAAACTTCATCTAAAGTACAATTTTTAAAAAAAAAAAAGCAATATAGGAAAAAAAAAAAACCGTTGCTGTCAAGTCAATTCTGACTCACAGCGACCCTGTAGGACAGAGCAGAACTGCCCCATAGGGTTTCCTAGGCTGTGATCTTTACGGGAGCAGGTCGCCAAGTCTTTGTCCTACGGGGAGCCCCTGTGTGGGTTCAAACTGCCAACCTTTCAGTTAGCAGCCAAGCGAGTAACTTGCACCACCAGGGCTCCTTGTTTATGCATACGCGTTCATTAATACTCTCCCTCCATAAAGGAAAACTTAGAAGATTCATAATTTTCATTTTTTATAATGAAAAAAGAAAAGGGAGGAAAGTGCCACGGCGTAGGGCCTGCTGTGCACGTTGTCGGGAGGGCCAGCTAGGAAGGTACAAGACCGTTACTGAAGGACCGAAGAGGTACGAGAGTCCCTGGGTGGTGCAAATGCCTAACGCGCGCAGCCGCTAACCAAAAGGTTGGAGGTTCAAGTCCACTCAGAGGCACCTTGGAAGAAAGGCCTGGCGATCTACTTCTGAAAAGTCAGCCACTGGAAACAGTTCTACTCTGACACACGTGGGTTCACTGTGAGCTGGAATGAACCCGACGGTGACTGGTTTTTAAAAGAGATGCAGACTCTGTGCAGAGGCAGTCAGAAGTGGAGAAATCACAGAAGTCCTAGAGGTGAAAATTCTCTTTCCTAGCATCATAAAAGAACCTTGGGGACGTTTGAATGACAGCCAGCTCCCCAAAGCATGTAAGACCTCCTGCTGCTGGCTCTGGGTTAGAATTTACTGAGCCTGGGGAAGGACAAGAAGGCCATCCCCTCTTGACATAGTCATTTTCCTTTTTTCCAGCTTTGGAGAAGGGGACAGGGGAGTCTCCCCGCCTCCCTCACCCTTCTTCTCTGCCATCCTCGCTGCCTTCCAGCCCACGGCCTGTGACGACGCCGAGGAGGCCTGGCGCAGCCACATCAACCAGCTCATGTGTGACTCGGACGGCTCCTGTGCTGTGTATACATTTCATGTGTTCTCCTCTTTGTTTAAGGTATGGTGCCCTCGCGACCTCAGGGGCTGAGTCTCTTAGTGGAGTCAGGGGGCTTCTGATTTCAGCAGCGGTGCCATTTTGTTCTGGGTTTGTACTGTTTTCTCATCCACGTGTTGTTGCCGTCACGTCGACTCCGACTCATGGTGACCCCCTGTACAACAGAACGAACCATTGCCGCATCCTGCGCCACCCGCGCGATTGCTGGTCCGCTCAAGTCCACTGACGCAGCCACTGTGTCAGTGCATCTCACTGAGGGCCTCCCTTGTCTCACTGGCCCTCCACTTCACCAGACAGCTGTTGGTCTTTCCTGATGATGTGTCCAAAGCAACAATATTCTGTTGCATCCCATAGGATTTTCGTTGGCTAATTTTCGAAAGTAGATCACCAGGCCTTTCTTCCTAGTCTGTCTTAGTCTGGAAGCTCTACTGAAACCTGTCCACCATGGGTGACCCTGCTGGTATTTCAAATACCAGTGGCACAGCTGCCAGCATTGCAGAACACACAAGCCATCACAGGAGGGCAGACTGGCGGATGGTGGTATCGTGAGTTAGGGACAGTGATTTGAGTGGACTGAAGGAAAGGATCTTCTCAGCACCAGCAGGGACAGCATGGCAGAAAAGAGAGGCAGGAAAATAAGGAAATCTGTAAAAAGTGCAAAATGGAAACTAATCCTTATTAATCAGGTTGTTGAGAGACCCTGATTTTTCAGAGGCTAGGATACTTCATCAGTACCCAGCGTCACTGAATTATACATGTGGATGTTGCTGAAATGGTGTCTCTTGGGCTGTGTAGACTTTTCACCAAAGTGAAAACAAAACAAAGCCCCATGGAGCAGTTCTACTTTGTAATACACGGGGTTGCCATGAGTTGGAATCGACTTGTCAGCAACGAGTATGTATGTATACACACATACATACACACGCACACACACACACACACACGCGGGTAAAATGGAAAGTTACCTTCTATATTGAAAGTTTTTAATCATATAGCAGGGTTAAATTTTATTAAATGTTTTTATTGTCTCAATGGAGATCAGATTTTTTTATTAATGTAAATTACATTGATTATCAAATATTAAACCAAACTTAAACACTATTGCTTAAAAAAAAATGTATAAAGAAGAGCTTAAATATTGTTCCCAAGTACTTAAAACTTAGAACATCATTTCACAGAAAATAATGAATATCACCCATCAGTACTGTGCTCCTTTAAAAAAATCACCCATATGAGCCAAATGGTCAACAATGACTTTAAAACAAAGATGAGAATGTAAGGGGGCAGGGAAACTAGGTTAATGGAAACAGAACAACCAGAACGGAAATAGTGAGCAAGTTTACACGTTGTAAAGAGTGTAACCAATGTCACTGAACAACTTGTGTAGAAATTGTTGAATGGGAACCTACCTGGTGTGTAAGCCTTCACCAAAAACACAATAAAATAATATTTATAAAAAATCCTTTCAACATTTCAGTAGCCAGAGTCACTTGACTGAATTCTGCTCTGCAATGCGCAGTGTTGGTATGATTCTGGGCATTGTAAAGCTCTTTTTATGATAGGGGAAAACGCCTCCTATTTTGTAGACATTAAGCATCAGGCCAACCTCACCACTGTATCTCTAAGGTTACCCATTAATCCGTTATCTTCACAGAGTAGAGGAGTAGACAAATCTGTAATAGTCTACCTTAAATAATTTCAGATTCAGAAAGCCATATTTTTAGTTTATATAAGGGCAAAGCCTGCTTTTGAGCCTGAGGCCCTTCGTACAACCCACTTTGGAAGCTTTCTATACCAATAGGGCTGTGGGCTACGGCTTCTCACTTGGGGTCTTATTTGGGCCACTGTCCATCAACGTCTTCACTTTACTTTTAGTGCAAACTCTTAGAAAGTTGAACAGACAAAGTAAGGCTGTGCCTGGGGTTAACTAGGGGTTGGAGGGAGTGTTGGGCTTAAGACAGAGAATAACTGGCTGCTGAAAGATAAGAGTTGCAGAAATACTTCCACATTAAGCCAGTGTCTTAGTTCCCTAGTGCTGCTATAACAGAAATACCACAAGTGGAGGGCTTTAACAAACAGAAATTTATTTTCTCACAATTTAGGAGGCTTGAAGCCTGAATTCAGGGCACTGGCTCTAGGGGAAGACTTTCTCTTTGTCAACTCTGGGGCAAGGTCCTTGTCTCTTTTCAGCTTCCATTCCTTGGTTCCTTGGTGATCCTCACGTGACATATATCTTCCCATCTGTTTGTGCGTCCTTCTCTGTGCGTAACCTACTCTTTTTATATCTCAAAGGTATTGATCTGTTTAAAACACACCCCACACTGATATGGCCTCATTAACATAACAAGAAAGTCCTATTCCCAAATGGGAATATATCCACAGGTATACCAAACCACCCCATTGCTGTCAAGTCAATTCCAACTCATAGCGACCCTATAGGACAGAGTAGAACTGCCCCATAGGGTTTCCAAGGAGCGAACTGCTGGCTTTTTCGTTAGCAGCCAAACTCTTAACCACTGCGCACCAGGGCTCCATTCACAAGTATAGAGGTTTAGAATTTACAACACGTGTTTTTGGAAGACACAATTCAATCCATGACAGTCAAGGTAGGCTCCTCTCAGCCCCCTCAGGACACGCCCCTCTTGGCCCTGCGGTCTCTTGCCACTGACTCTGCTGCTGGGCCCCTTCCAAGCCTCGCTCTGTCTTCGGTGTTACAGCTCTTTTAGGCGGTTCCTTGCTTCCTCTCTCTCTCTCTTCTCATTTCTTTCTTCTGCTTCTTCCTGCTGCTTCTCTTCCTGCTGCTTTTCTTCCTGCTTCTTTCTGTCTGAAAAACCTGTGGGGTTGGCTGCATAGATACACAATTCCTTGCCAATTTCAAGGCACGGCCCCTCCCAGCAAGGCCACAAACTGACCAATCCCCTCTTGGTAGGCCACAGATGCTTCATTTGCATGGCCCATAGTCACCTCATTTGCACAGTCTATTGACCAGTCCCTGCAAGGTACATACCAATCACAGGGCAGGCCGCAGCCCAGGACCAGACAAAAAGTATCCAGCCAAGTTGTTTACACCTTACCCAGGAAATGTAACAAGGCCTCTGGGGTGGAAAACTAGGGCAAAGGTCACTCCTCAGGGCTCAGAGGGAAAATTTCTCAGGCTGTTTTTCCAGAGAACCAAGGCAGAAGACACATAGAGGGACTCATTTCCCACAGCCTGGTTTGTCTGGCGGGAGCTGGGCAGCCCTACCCCCGTGCCCTCCCCTGGGGACTCTCTGGCCACTTCGAGAGTCATGCTCAAGCTGCAGGAGAGAGTCTAAGAGACCAAAGACTGATCACGCTGTGGCTCAAGGAGAGAAACGCCTTCAAAAAATCACATCCAGTAGCTTTCGTGCAGAGAGCACCTTCCTCCGAGAGGGACTGAGGGGACACCTGGCGGGCGAAAGTTCACTTTCTAAGATGCTTCTTTCACCTTCAGCAAGGAAATGTGCTCAGTGTTCACAGCCCAGCATCCTGACAACACAGCGGTTGTGAATGGGGGAAGAAAGCAGTGCCAATTAAAATGCAGCATGAGCCGGGAGGTGGGGCTGGGAACAGGTCCTGGGGGAGGCATTTGGATGTGGATTTTTTTTTTCCAAAATTATATTAGAGCAATCCCCTGTGGAGCTTATCTGCAGTAATAACCATAGTACAAATGTGTGCCTCCTATTTTTATTTTTAATATTATATTTAGCCCTGAGAACTTCCTCAGTCCCCATCAAATGCTGCGTGACTGAGAACAATACTGGGAGTACAACTAGATAGTAATAATATGCACCGGGGCTCATTGTTTCTTGTCAAGGGTGCCACGTCCATTCAATGGGGAAAGAACAGTCTCTCTGATAAATGGTGCTGCAACAACTGGATCTCCACATGCAAAAGAACGAAGCTGGACCCTTACCTTACACCGTATGTGAAAAGTGACTCAAAAGGGATCAACGACCTCTATATAAGAAGTAAAGAATATAAGAACTAAACCATAAAGCTCTTGGAAGAAAACACAAGGGTAAAACCTCAAGCCCTTGTTTTTGACGATGGATTCTTAGATATGACACCAAAAGTACGCTGCAAAAGAAGCAACAGCTAAATGGGACTTCGTCAAAATGAAGAACTTTTGTACATCAAAGGGCTTTATGGACAAGTGACGAGAACCTACTGAACAGGAGAAAATGTTTGGAAACCGTATATTCTGGATATATGAAGAACAAAGAACTCCTACGACTCAACAGCAGAAAGACAAACAACTCAGCCAAAACATGGGCGAAGGACTCGTGTAGACATATCTGCAAAGACGATATATGAATGACCGACAAGCACGAGAAGATGCTCAACATCATTAGCCATTAGGGAAATGCAAATCAAAACCTCAGTAAGATACCACTTCACACCCACTGGGATGGCTATTAGCGGAAAAATAGGAAATAACAAGTGTTGGCAAGGATGCAGAGAAATTAGAACCCGAGCCCATTGGTGGTGGGAATGTAAAATGGTAAAGCCGCTACGGAAAACAGTTTGGCAGTTCTTCAAGAAGTTAAGCGTAGAATTACCATGTGACCCAGCAACACCACTCCTAGGTGTATGTCCAAGAGGCCTGAAAGCAGGGACTTAGACAGACATTGTACGCCCATGCTCATTGCGGCATGATTCACAGTAGCCAAAAGGTATAAACAACCCCAAGTGTCCATCAACAGATGAATGGATAAACAAAGTGTAGCCCCTAAATACAGTGGAATATCCCTCAGCTATAAAGAGAAGCGAAATTCTGACGCATGCTCAGACATGGACGAACCTTGAGATCATTGTGCAGAGTGAAAAAGTCAGACACAAGAAGACAGAAATTATATGATCCCACTTATATGACATATCTAGATTAGGTAAATACATAGAGACAAAAGTTTATTAGTGGCTACCAGGGGCCCTGGTGGCACAAATGTTTAAGCACTCAGCTGCTAACCTAAAGGTTGACAGTTCAAACCCACCCAGTGGCTCCCCAGGACAAAAAGCTGGCGATCTGCTCCCGTAAAGATTACAGCCTAGAAAACCCAATGAGGCAGCTCTACTCTGTCACATGGGGTTTCTAGGAGTCGGAATTGACTCAGCAGCACCTAGCAACAACAAATACCGCCCGCCTTTTTATGATCTGTCACTGACAGAACTAGCCTTCTCAGCACAATATGTTATAAACCCAGATTTCACCTTACCCTTCTGTAAGATGGAAAGAACCCCAAACTATTCAGGGGGCATGAATCCTAGTCCCGGCTCTGCCACTCAACTAACTATGGGATGCTTGACGTGGCATTTCACCCCCCTGGCTCCTTTCAGCTCTAACATGCTGTCATTTTGTGTGTTTTTTTAACTGCACATACAATTAACAACACCATAGAGATGTACGTCCGTTGTTCATTCTACCAAGATTCTCAGATGCCTTAAATAAAAAATAAATAACATGCAACATGGTGGGCTTTTTTCTAATGTGACTTATAAAGAACCTGCAGGTGTTTGGGGGACATGTTAGTTTCCCCCATAAACAAGGACATAGTATTTCTCATGGATTCGATTCTATAACTCAGAAGTATAACGACTGTTTGGGAAAAGCCAACGCCTAGAAATGGAATTACTTTTTATTAAGTACTTTGTTCTTTTTGTTAACAGTATGGTGTGCTGGAAAGTTTAGGGGGCAAAACTGTCCTCATTTTGGCACTTGAGATAGGCACAGTGAATCTGATTCTTCCTAATTATGATTTGCTTCTCAGGCACTGTGGAAGGGACGGTAACTTCTACATTTATGGGAGAAATGTGGACTTGGGAGTCAGAGTCACCCTTACCTTACACTCACTAATTGCATGACCTTAATAAAGGACTCATGTAACCTCTGTCTTTCGTTCTTCATTTATTTATTTAGGTGAAAATATGTACAACAAAACATACACCCGTTCACCAATTTCTACATGGACAGCTCATTGACAATGGTTACATTCTGTACATTGAGTCACCACTCCCCCGTCTCTGCCCCATTGTTTCACCCACATTAACTTAGACTCTCTTCCCCTTCAAGTTCTCAGCTGTGCTTTAGAGTTACTTTTGTCATTTCAGTCTCTTAGAGGTAATTCTTCAATAGGGTGCAGTGCAAGACAGACATTCTTTATAGAGCTACATTGTTTAAAGATGGCCTCATGGGATACTTTGGGCTCAAGGTTCAAATGTCGTTTGCAGGCCAGAGATTTGGGGGTCCCTCCAGTCTCAATGTGTCCAATTAGTCTGGTTTCCAGTAAGAATTTGAAGTTCCGTACCTCAGTTTTCCTCCTCTTGATCAGGATCCATCTATTTTGTCCCTGAACAAAACATTCAGTAATGGTAGCCGGGCACTGTCCCTTTCTTCTGATCTCATGGAAAAGGAGGCAGTAGTTCATGGAGGCATTAGACCTGCAGACCATTTCCTTCTCCGACTCCTGGCTCTCCTTCTTCCTCTGCTGCTCCAGGCGCATTTAACCTCTCTTAACCTCAGTTTCTTCGTCATGTTGTGAGGATTAATGAGTTGACGTATGTAAAGCTATAGAAGGGAATCTGGTACATTGGAGACTCCTGATCAGACACATTCTGAGAAGACAATATTATTATAGGTCCTAGGTAGCATGAAAGGAGCCCTGGTGATGCAGTTTTTAAGCGCCTGGCTGCTAACTGAAAGGTTGGCGGTTCAAACCCACCAGTGCTTCTGTGGGAGAAAGACCTGGAGATCTGCTCCTGTAAAGATTACAGCCTAGGAAGCCCTGTGGGGCAGTTCTACTCTGTCACATGGGATTGCTGTGAGTTGGAATCGACTCAACGGCACCCAACAAAATGTAGCATTTATTATTTTATTCTTTCAAAAAAAAAACCCTTTGCCGTTGAGTTGATTCTGACTCATAGCAACCCTATAGGACAGAGTAGAACTGCTCCATAGGTTTTCCGGGGAGCAGCTGGTGGATTCAAACTGCTGACCTCTTGGTTAGCTGCCAAGCTCTTAACCACTGTGCTACCAGGGCTCCAAATATCACTCTTTCAGTGCCCTGTCTCTAAGAACACTCATCTTTGAAACCAAACAAGAGTGACATCTCTTTGCCTTTTCCTGCCACCCACAAGGAATCTCAGGACCTTCTCACTGATCTGACAAACAAGCTAGAAGGACTCCAGCTGCTGATCAGCACTGACCATCAGCCAGAAAACAACAGCATTTATTAAAATGGATTATATGACATTGTGAAGAATGTAACCAATGTCACTGAACAACTTGTGTAGAAATTGTTGAATGGGAACCTAAACTGTTGTGTAAACCTTCACCAAAAACACAATAAAATATTAATTAACAAAAAAAAAAAATAGATTCTACAAGCATTCACACGATGGGAAATGACATTTTAGGAACCAACCTTGTCCATACTGGATGATTATTTAGTTGATTTAAGACAAACATTCACTCTGTCCCCCTCCTCCTCCAACCCAGAGGACCTGTGCCCATTTAATATTTTTATAAAGATTAGAAAATCATTTTTGTTTAATATGTAAGTTAAAACTTGGCCTTTACATTGATCAAAGAGTCTATAGCAGAATCCTGATCAAAAGGAGGGAAATGTGGAACGTAATTCCAGATTCTCATGGAATCCAGACTTTCTGGAGCCATTCAGGCTAGATAACCCCCAAAACTATTGCTCTGAGGTAATCCTTAAATCTTAAAACTTAAGCCAAAAATATCCCCTGAAGTCTTCTTGAAACGAAACAATAGTTGAACTTAATCAGTAAAAAAAAATCTGTCTTGAGCATCATGCTCTTTTAAAGAACTCTGTATGGGATCACATTGGTAACAGCAACTGGAAAGGTTAGATATGAAGCTTAGGGGACAGTGAGGTTATGTTGACGGGGGAGGAACAATTCATAAAAGGAGGGTGAGGATGGTTGCACAACCTGAATGGAATCAATGTCACTGAATTATATGTGTAGAAATTGTTGAATTGGTGTATGTTCTGCTGTGTATATTTTCAACAATTAAAAAACAGATCCTATGAGCACCTGCATGTTTGGAAATGACATCTTAGAAACAATCTTTGTCCACTGCTGCATGAACTTTGTCCACTCCATCCTCCCCCTCCTCCTACCCAGAGGTCCCATGCCCATTTGATTTTTTTGCAAAGATTAGAAAATCGGTTTTTCTCTACTATGTTAAGTTAAAACTTGGTCTGTACAAATGGCCTTTGTTTTTCCCTCCAGAATATTCAGAAGAGGTTCTGCTTCTTAACCTGCGATGCAGCCAGTTACCTGGGAGATAACCTTCGTGGAATCGGATCCAAGTTTGTCAGCTCCTCCCAGATGCTTACCTCCTGCTCAGAATGCCCCACCCTTTTTGTGGACGCCGAGACTGTGAGTATTCCCAGTCCTGCTCTGGCCCTGGTAGCCTGCCGAGCTGATGGTGTGGAGCTTCTGAGTAGCTGATTGGGTTGTGTGTTGTTTTAAACATATCCCCAGTGTTTGTGAGCAGCGCTGGGTTGTGATATGTCTCCTAAAGATTGTGACGTGACTCCTCGGAGTCTGCAGAGTAATTACTGCACATCGCAGCCCAGATCAAGGAAAAAGACATTTTAGAGAAGCAGAAGAAAACTCCACCTCTGTGCCCTCTCCACGTGCTTCGCACCTCTCTCTGGTGGCTTTGACTTTGACAGCTGTGAGTATAGTGGGAGAACCACTGAACCAGCCTGGCCGACCCCTACACTGCCAGGTTGGCCAGCTATAGACACAGGTCACTACTTCCCCCACCCCCAAGTCCCAAATACAATGACTGGCTGTCCTTTGGATTCTAACAATGAATGATAAGTTTTAAAGCGTGGAGAGAATAGTCTCGGGCTGACAGTTGAATCAGTACGTTATGAATCAGGACTTCTAACTCTGCCAGACTGACTAGCTCTTAGAGAGCAGGGCTTGTATGTTACCTTTTTCTACGCCACCTCCCCCATGCATCTCACAGAACAGCATGTTTGCCGAGTGATTGCCAAGGTTTGGAGCCACTGAGGACGCGCTTTCATTTTAAAAGTCTCTGAAAAATCGGTCTTCTTAAGAACTTGAGGAGTGATTGGCTGTCTTGTAGCAAAGAATGCAACATGAGGAATCAATCTATTTTAAATGATCTGAATTGTATATTAAATTCAAAATCAGTTTGAAGGTCTCTTTGGAGATTGTCTGCACACTACCATGTTTTTCCCAAATAACGCACCCACGTAAATAATGCGTGGAAATAATAAAATTAAGTGAACAATTCTGGGATCGCGCACCCATGCATATACTGCACATGTCTCAAGACATTTCCAGAAGTGCATTTCGTCCTTATTCACCGTCCTCCCATATTACAAGTAAATCATATTGTCCTATTCATTTTATTTCATTCTGTTTATTTTCTTTAATCTCTTGCTTCTGTGTATAAAATAGTCTGAAAATGTTACTTTTGATCATAATTGTATAGTAAAGATATAAACCACGGCCACAAAGTCATGGATCGAGTTTGGTAGCCCCTCGGTAATCAGAAAATAAACAATCGAAACTGTGCATTTGTTTCTATTAATTTAATTCAATTTAAATTGATAATTATAGCGCATTAGCTCGACAGTTGAATTCAAAAACCTTCTCAGATCATCTCATGAAACCATTAGGTTATGTTAAGTCTGCTTATTTCACAGTTTAATTATGTCTTCTTGGTGTCAATTGAAGTCAGCAACATGTAAAAAGAATTGGCATAGCGCACTTACAAAAATAACATGCAAGGGGGTTGCGCCGTTGGAAAAAGAACATGTAACACATGCATTATTTGCAAAAAAAATACAGTACTTGAGTATTATTGGATAAAGATAGTAGAGTTCATGCATAAAATAGATATCATACCTTAATGTAGTCTTCTGTGGAATACTTGTTAAGACTTGTCTGTCTATACTGATGCGAGAAAAACTTGGTATTTTCATAGGATGCTTGTATTAGCAAGCTAACATTACAATTGCAGCCGACAGTAAAGCAGAATGACAGATTTCACAGCTTATTGAAACAGATACCACTGCCATCCCTTAACATTACTTGGAAATATCCTTCTCGTTTCTCTCTGTGTAGCCATGCCTTTGTGCTGGTATCTCTCTAGTTGTTTTAACACACATTATTTTCCTGTCTTTAGCTCCTTTCCTGTGGACTTCTGGACAAGCTCAAGTTCAGCGTTTTAGAATTGCAAGAATATTTGGATACCTACAACAACAGAAAAGAGGCCACTCTCTCAGTAAGCTTTTGTGTTTCTGTGCATATACACGCAGTTAGAACCCAGTGAAGCCAGCCACTAAGAGTTCAGGGGAGGTGCTGTGATTAACCTAAGATAAGCCCTTTTGAGAATAGAAGACAGACTTCCTCTTTTCCTCTGTTAGGGATTCAGTTCCAATTTAATGGTGGGTGAACTGTGGTAGTATCGCTTATATAAGTGATACCTACAAAAAAGAAATTTTTCAGCTTTCACTTTTTTTCTTAATATTTTTATTAGAGTGAAAGTATACAGAACTAAAGATACACCATTTGAACAATTTCTACGTGTACAATTCAGTGACACTGGTTACGTTCTTCAAGTTGTGCAGCCTTCTCACTATCCTTTCCCACATTATTCTACCACTGTTATCTTAAACTCCCTGCCCTCTAAGCTTCCCATCCAACCTTTGGAGTAGTTGTTGTCAATTTGATCTCACATAGGTAACTCTTTAAAAGAGCACAATGCTCAAGGTAGCCATACTTTACCAATTAAGATAAGCTAGCTATCTTCTGGTCAAAGAAGACTTCAGGGGATAGTTTTGGTTTAAGGTTTAAAGTTTAACGATTATTTCAGGGCACTAGTTTCTTGGTTGCATCCATTAACAATTGCCTCCGTTGGCATGAGACCAGAAGAACTGGATAGTGCCCAGCTACCATTCCTGAACATTTTGATCAAAGATTCTATAGAAGAATCCTGATCAAAAGGGGGAAAATGTAGAACAGAATTTCACATTCTAAATGGAATCCAGACTTTCTGGAGCCATTGAGGCTGGATGAACCCTCAGCTTTCACTTTTAACCCCTTAATGTCCCCACCAAGAAATTGGAAAAAGTGGGCATCTGCTGGCTATGTACTTTATCAATGTATATTTTCTCAGAGATTTGAAATGTTTGATTACTTCCTTCTAGGGTTAGCCAAACCCAAAACTAGTTGTACTGCATCTCACCACTCTCGTCTTCTTAACCACTCTTGGTAGCTGTTTCTCTTGTCTGCATGGCTTTTGTTGACCTTCGCGCATGCTCTTTATTGTTTGCTTCCTTCGTAGGTCTAGATTGTAAAACGTTAGAGACAAACTGTCTCAGTCATCTAGTGCTGCTCTAACAGAGATACCACAAGTGGATGGCTTTACAAAAGAAAAGTTTATTCTCTCACAGTCCAGTAGGCTACAAGTCCAAATTCAGGGCATCAGCTCCAGGAGAAGGCTTTCTCTCTCTCTGTCGGCTCTGGAGAAAGGTCCTTGTGCTGCATCAGTCTTCCTTTGATCTAGGAGCATCTCAGTGCAGGAACCTCAGGTCCAAAGGACGTGCTCTGTTCCCGGCGCTGCTTTCTTGGTGGTATGAGGTTCCCATGTGTCTCTGCTTGCTTCTCTCTTTTATATCTCAAAAGAGATTGGCTTAAGACACTATCCAATCTTGTATACCTCATCAGTATAACTGCCACTAATCCATCTTATTAGATCATAGTGATAGAGTTTACAACACATAGGAAATCACATCAGATTACAGAATGGTACACAATCATACAATACCGGGAATCATGACCCAGCCAAGTTGACAGATATTTTTGGGTGACACAATTCAATCCATAACAGTTCCCATTTGACAATTTCTACACAAATTGTTCAGTGACATTAGTTACATTTTTCACAACGTGTCAACATTCTCTTTAGTTGCGTACTGGTGGTTCTGTTTCCAGTACTCTAGTTTCCCTGCCCCCTTATCTTCTCATCTTTGCTTTAGAGAATTGTTGACCTTTTGGACTCATAGAGATGGTTTTTCACGGAAGCACTGTACTCACAGGTAATACCCTTTATTTTGTGTGCCAACCAGTTATTCTGCTGAAAGGTGAACTCAGAGACAGTTTCAGTTCAAGGTTTAAAGAGTATCTCAGGACTATAGTCTCAGGGAGTCCTCTGGTCTCAACTGGTCCAGTATTTCTGGACTTTCTAAGAACTTAAGTTCTGTTCCATGTTTTTCTCCCATTCTGTCATGATCCATCTATTGTGGCTCTGATCAGAATGGTCAGTAGTGGTAGCCAGGTACCACCTAGTTCTTCTAGTCTCAGGGTAGATGAGGCCGTGGCTCGTGTAGGCTGTTAGCCCTGTAGACTAGTTTCTTCTCTGAGACTCTAGTTTCCTTCTTTCTCTTCTGCTTCTGACAAGACCAATAGTTGTATCTTAGATGGCTGCCCACTAGCTTTTAAGACCCTAAATGCTACTCACCTCACTAGGATGTAGAACATGAACTTTGTGAACTGTATTTTGCCAGTTGACTGAGTTGTCCCATGAGACTAAGGTCCTAAGCCTTCAAACTCAGAGCTGTCATTGTTTTCTTCTGTGATCCTTTCATTCTGGTTGGAGAACAAGCCAGTCTTTTCATGGCACGTGTGGATTTCAGTTCTCTAGTGCTCATTGCTTTCTACCCAAAGGTTCCTCTCCACATCTGTGTTAGATGCTATCCCAGATGCTTAAGGCTGACAGAACCTCTAAGTAACTGAGCCATTAGTATAGGAGCTTTTCTTACCATGAAGTAGATCTGCCCAAAAGAAGCCTCTCGACAGAGAAGTAGGTCAGGTCGTGTTGACCAAAATATGTTTAAAACCAGTTGCCATTGACTCAATTCCCACTCACGGCGAACCCGTGTGTGTCAGAGTAGAACTGTGCTCCATAGGGTTTTCAGTGGCTGATTTTTTCAGAAGAAGATCGCCAGGCTTTTCTTCTGAGTCACCTCTGGGTGGACTCAAACCACCAGCCTATCAGTAAGCAGCCAAGCACATTAACCATTTGCACCACCCAAAACCCAAAAACCAAACCCATTGTCCTTGAGTCAATTCCAACTCATAGCAACCCTATAGGATAGAGTAGAACTGCCCCGTGGGGTATCCAAGGTTGTAATCTTTACGGAAGCAGACTGCCATATCTTTGTCCCATGCAGTGGCTGGTGGGTTTGAACTGCCAACCTTTTGGTTAGCAGCCAAGCGCTTAACCACTGCACCACCAGGCCTCTTGCACCACCCAGGAACTCCAAAAACATGATTATATAACAAAAAGTTTGAAACAACCTAACCTGTGAGAAAATGTCAGCATCTTATAATGTCTATCCTACAGAAAGTTTCTAACTATACATAAATTTGTTTTAATTTATACCTAAATTATGAATGGTCTTGTAAAACCAGTCCCCAGGGTGACATGTCACAATGTTGAAATTATGTTTTTAAATGCTCATCCCCAAACCGACATTCACAGATACTTTAATTTCAAACAGTTAACCTGGAACCCAAAGAAATGATCCTTTTCATAAGTCACTGTAGCAATAATTTCTTTTTCTTTCTCTTTCTTGCTTCCTTCCTTCATTGACTTATTGATCGATGGGAGGCTTAACAAATTTTCCCCGACAGAACGGATGTAAAAATGTCCTCGGGACATCGCTGATTTTACTGTTATGCATCTCTTTTTCCGAAAACAGTGGCTCGCAAATTGCAAGGCGACATTTGCCGGAGGATCAAGGGATGGAGTAATTACCTGCCAACCAGGGGACTCGGAAGAAAAGGTAATAAAAGTCTGTGAGAATCTCTCTCTTCTGTGCTCTGGCATCGTATGTTGGTTTTGACCCACGCAAGAAGGAAGGACCCCGCAAAGTCGGCCATACCAGAATTCCCATGAGCCCAAATAGAGTAAGACGGAGTGACGTCAAGCCAAGCGTGACTGTGTGTTGATGTGAGTTGGGGCTGATTTTCTCTCTTCTTTTTGGAAAAAAGTAGTGGTATAAAAATAACCTGTTTGCTGGACCCTGGCTAACGATACTAATCATTTCCTAATAAATTGTTGTGAAGTCAGAATATAAAACCAAATTTCATTCATTCTTCACTTAGTTCCTTCAGGAAAGGAGGTCTCGGTTGATCTTTTAGCAATCACTCTAAAACTGACTTTTCGTTCAGATTTCCTTTAACTGTGCGCCTTGAACAAGCTAGCTTGTAAACGTCTGCTGTAATTGTAAAGGAAATGGGGGAGAAGAGTGTGAATGGATTAAAATCGTCCATTCAGCAGGTGTGAGTGAGTGCCTTCTGTATGGCCCATACAGACGATGGATACATACTGAGCAACAGACAAAGCCTCTGCCCTCACAGAGCTTACGGACTTGGCACAGAGACAAACCTTAACGGGAAGATCACACAGGTATAGACCACAGTGAGAACCAAGAGAGAAAGGCAACAACAGTAAGCTATGAGAACACATAGGGGGAGGGGACTTCTGGGAAGGCTTCTCTGTGGAAGTGCCATTGAAGCTGACGTCTAAAGTACGAGCTAGAGTTAAGGAAGTGAAGGGGGCAGGTGGAGAGCCTGTGCAAAGGCCCTGAGGCAGGAGAGAACCTGGCCTTTTGCAAGAACTCCATGTATTCAGTGCAGAAAGTTGATAAGGAGAAAAATTTGAGAAGAGTGTAGAGAAGCTGGCAGAAGCCAGACTATGCAAGGCTTGGGTCTTCATCTTAGCAGCCTTAGCTCTTAACCACCGCCCCACCAGGGCTCCATCTTAGCGGCAATAGTAAGCAATTGAAAAGTTTTAACAGGAGTATATGATTAAATTAAGAAGCCCTGATGGTGCAATGGTTAAGCACTTGGCTGCTAACCAAAATGTTGGTGGTTCGAACCCACCCAGCGGATCTTCAAAAGAAAGACCTGGCGATCTGCTCCCGTAAAGATCATTGTTATTGTTGTTAGATGCCATCAAGTCGGTCTCGACCCGTAGTGACCCTATGTACTACAGAACGAAAAACTGCCCAGTCCTGCACCATGCTCACAGTCGTTGTTATGCTCCAGCCCATTGTCGCAGACACGTGTCAATCTATCTCGTTGAGCGTCTTCCGCTTTTTTGCTGACCCTCTACTTTACCAAGCATGATGTCCTTCTCCAGGGACTGGTCCCTCCTGACAACATGTACAAAGTAAGTAAGATGTAGTCTCGCTATCCTTGCCTCTAAGGAGCATTCTGGTTGTACTTCTTCCAAGACTGATTTGTTGGTTCTTTTGGCGGTCCACGATATAGTCAACACTTTTCTCCAACACCACAATTCAAAGGCGTCAATTCTTCTTCGGTCTTCCTTATTTATTGTTTAGCTTTTGCATGCATATGATGTGATTGCAGATATCACGGCCTGGGTCAGACGCTTAGTCCTCAAGGTGACATCTTTGCTTTTCAACACTTCAAAGAAGTGTTTTGCAGGAGATTTGCCCAATGCAATGCATCGTTTGATTTCTTGACTGCTGCTTCCATGGGTGTTGATTGTGAATC